CAGAAAAAGGAAAAAGAGAGGAAGCATGAACTGTCATGAGCAGACACGGTGACACGAAACAGTGAGACAGCAGCTTGAAACACAGTGTACATTTGCATGTTAATCATCAAACATCCAAAACACACTTCGGCCTATGACTCCCCGCAGCAACACACAGATGGCGATGGGAGACCAGCAGGTTCAGGCTCATGCCACGCTCTCTTCTCACCACATCTTTACTGCCATGAGATTGAAAACTAACAGTAATTTAAAAAAAAAAAAACTGCTTGAGATTTCAGCTTTCAATCTGTTGCACATTTTTGTGTGACGTTTCCTCCCCAGTCTCAGCAGAGTCACTGTCTCTTTCTATGTATCTGTTCTTTCTCATTTTCAAACATCTCCCTCCATCAGGGATCATATCAGCCCCACTGAGTGGGAGGGGTTTGACGGAGTACAGTTAAATGAATCGATGAGCAAGGAGAGTGGACATTTCACAGAAAATGTAACTTTTTTCAGACTCCGGTCAGCTTCTCAGGTCTCCTTTGCATTCCTCCTACAGTAAGAGAGTTGAACACAAATGCAGAATTGCTGGGAAAGCAAGTTTAAGCCTCGGGATGAACTAAATCATCAGAAGAGAGGAGATAAATCCCATCTGCTCATTAATGGCTGGCCTTCTCTGTAGCCTGTTTGCGCAGCCAATCACCGCCACTTGGGGCTGGTATCCTGAGGTGAGCCAACCAATCAGAGCTCATTTCTGAGCCAATGTCATTTTTGAAAATGCTAGGCGCTCTTCTAAGATACAAGAATGTTTCTAACTTCTGCATTTCAAACATGAAACTTCACATTTTTCTCTTTCTAAACTTACCACCAACTACTCCTAGACAAAAAGCAAAGCTTGCTTTGTCTCAGAAGAGTGGAAAAGCTCATCCCTCGGGGCAGCTGCTGCTATAACAGCCACTGAATCCTCAAACTGACAAAACGCACACCAACACACTTTTCTGGAGGGCTCCCCCCGTCCTGAAACACACATTGCTGAGACACAACACACCACAATAGTCCAGCTCTTCTGTTTAAACTCCACAAGTGTTTTTTTTCTCAAAGATAGGACCGATGGTTAAGAACACACACATTCATACTGTACACACACGCAAACACATGTGGTGTGAACAATACGGCTCTTCCATGGTGGCGAAGATTTAGCCAGCAGGTTGGACAGCCCCTCAACCTGACGTCACGTCTTCTTTGTTGTTTATGAATTTATTTCTCTCCTCAGTTGAACTCTCTGAACCCAAAGTCCCACCCCACCCCCCCCCTCCCTCCCGCCGTCCCCTATCCACTCCCCTCCAGAGCTGTCCTCGAGCCCTACATTTACCCCATGCCAACAAAGGCGGGCAAATACAGTATGACTTTAACAAGGAAAAAGAAAAGAAAACAAGGAGAGGCAGACACAGAGAGCAGAGACACAAGTAAAAAAGAGAGAAAGGAGCTCAGATGGCTATCTCACTTTTTTCTCTTGCCTCCTTTTCTTCTTCGATCGCTCCCCGTGTCTTTTCCTGCTTGGCTTGTAAAAGTTTCAGCTGCATGGCGGGCTGGCCTCTTTTGGCAACCATCCAACTCTCGACTCTCCTGTCCCCTTGCAGGCAAGAGAAGGAAGGGAGGACAAATATAGTCACAGGCAGACTGTACCATGAAGTTGCAGAAGCACAGCTTCCATTTTTATTTCAGACTAACCCAAACAGGAAGAGGGTGGTTTGCTCTTCAGCTGTTAAAACTGTTTTCGGAGGAGCATCACGCAGTGCACAAACAGCCAAGATAACAGGTACATTTTCAAAAAGCTGTCCCACATTTGTGATGTTAATCTGCCTTTAACTAGGTCCAACAGCTGTATCTGATAACAGTGTGTTTGAGTGCTCACACTCAGTTCATATAAGGACATGCTTTTTGTGTCTTTTCTCCTGGTATCAGCAAAGACAGTTACTCTGTTGCCTGTCGTACAATAAAGTTCTAAGTAGCACACAGGGGCCTTTACATTGTTAGGCTGTTGCATTCATTTGAAAGAATATGATCCCTAAATTGTCTGTTTTTAAAAAAAGACATAGCCTAACAAAGTCTGGCAGGGACGGGCAGGCTGTTACTGATTGACTTACCTTCACGGGGTGCATGATAAGTGATTCAAACACAATAAAGTTGATGTGCTTACTCACGATGATAACTTCTGTCACTCTTGTTTTCCTTTCTCTAACAGTACTGGCCTATTCTCAGAAGAACTACCTCCTCAGATCGTTTACACAAGATGGGACAAAGTGAGAGAGCAGTATTTTTCAAACAGTATTAATATGCCAAAAAGATAACTTTATTTTTTTCTTTTAAATGGTTAATGATTGACCTGATCTGCTTATGCTAGTTTACAACAAACCGGAACTGTTTTTACCTGGTGTAATCTGAGTGAATTTAATCATTGGATAAAAAGTCAGGAAGTTGAAACAGCAATAATATAGTAATACGCAATTTGTCTTACACCAAATGAAGGGATGAATAAAAAGAGGCGACGCGTTTTGCGCATATTGATGTGCAGATATATCTTTCACAGGCTGGCTTTTGATTGAGTCAACTTAAATCATATTGATGACGAATGTCAAAGTGGTGAAGACAAGTTCACACACGTGACGTGAAGCGCTCTTTTTGTTTAGTTTGAACTGGCTCACACAGCCAGCAGAAACTGGGTCACTGAGATCATCTGCTGAAACGAACAGATATCACAGTATCTCAACTACTGTAACGGCAGAAAATAAAACCCGTCAGGAAAGTAGTTCAGTGGTTTACAACCAAACTGGTGACCGTTCGGGGCTATACTACATATTATGCTATACTATTGATGATGCACGCCATCTAGTGGCAAAGTGTAGAAGTGCAAAGTGAGCTGAAAGTCATTATTAACAATATATATGAAAGAAAACTAAGTTTCCCAATAACGATAATGTAAATAATTATACTGATATAGCTTATATTAGATTTGTTAAAAGTTTCGAACTAGGTCAAATTTGATGTAGAACTTCATAAAATTATGGTCTACAATGTTTTACATCAAAGTAACAAAACCATTACATTGTTGATTGAATTCTCAAAAATTAGAAATGCTGGTGACATCAGACCAAAATTGGAAATAAAAAAGACTGAAATAACACTGAAATAGCCATTTACATTCTCATTTTTTATCAGATAATAAGCTATTTAATGAAACTGTAGTGGTGCCACACAACGTTTCTAACGAATATGTTCAGAGTGAGAAATTAAAATGCTTGGATTATACAGGGACTTTAAAATTCATAAGCCCCGGTTATTATAATGATATGATTATAGTAAAAGAATAAACAGAATGGACAATAAATATGTAAAAATTGCACCCCATGAAAAACTGAATTGTAGTCAAGTATTAATCAAATGTTTTCTAATTCAAACTCCAGTCTTTCTGGTATTTATCAAAGTTGTGAGGAAAACAAATCGATCTCTTCTGCTGCCACAGACCTGGTAAGAAGGGGGAGAACTTTGTATGGACAGGCTTCCTACAGACATGTTTGTACATGTCAAAGGCACCAGCAAAATCCTAGTGTAGGTAAGAACTCCGTTCTTCACTGTGGATTATGCTCATGTTCATATGCAGTTGCACAACTGAATCATTATCATTAGAAAAAATATTTTTAATCTATTTCATAAGTTTAAAGTCACTGTTTAAATACAGGTTGTTAATCCAAATTCAACCGGAACCTCTGAGTTTTCATAAATGTACAGCACTGGTCAGATTTATTTATTTTTCACTGAGCAAGAAAATACTGTAGACATTGTACCTCTGGTCCAGCCTAAAAAATTTCCAAAGCTGAGGTGATGCTGCCCTCCAGTGAGCAACAGTAGAACATCAGCGTAGTGGCCTTCAACAAGTTTATGCACGTAGCTGCTGTTGCTTCACCAGAGGTGCATGTGCATCTTTCTACAAGAGGTATTCCTTCTGAGAAAATTTGTAGCGCTTTTTCTCTCAGTGTTCTGGCAATGTAAGTATGAGTATTCATATTAATTCAGAGAGAAATTAGCTCTTTTTAGTGTACTTACTCCTGTGACTGTCCAATTGGTTTGATGCTGCATATAACAAATCAGCATTTGCAAATTATGGAGAATAATATTAATTCTATAGTTTGTTTACATATTACCAAGCTTAAGATACCAAATAATGCAATATGTGTTATAAAACTCTTAGAGCACTATGTTAAAGAACATGTTAAGATTGTCACATATTGTATAACTACATTTATAGAAGACTATATATGAAAAATGGAGCCATGGATGAACTTAGTTGTCCAAAGACAACTAAATAAATAGACTCTTTATGTCCTGATTAGGTCATCTGAATGAATTTCTCAGGATAAATATCGAAGAGCTGAGCTGTTTTAAGTAAGATTTTGATCAAAACAGAAGCAAAATAAAAGCACTCAAATATCTATATTGTCTAATTTCGATGTCTGGAATGGGTTGAGGACATTTTTTACATTTCTTGAAAAATTGTGGGGGATTATGACAGCATCACACACTGAGGCCTGAGAACGACTCTTAAATGGCTCATTCCTTTTTCATTTAGCTTTTCCTCCCGTATTGTGCGCCTGTTTTAGGTTAATGAACGGATTCGGCCGTAGCATGTTTCATTAGTGAAGACCTAACTGAAGTAAGCAGGTATCAGCGCAAAGAGGCGACGAGTGGAGAGTTTCTTTTCCTTTCTCTGTAATCACAACAGACGCTTTCAGGGAGCCTTCCCATCTCTCCCATCAGGAGTCTGATGTCATGGGAGGAGTTTGCATCGGGAACCTCAAAACTTTTTTTTTTCGTGTCGTGTGTTTCGACGCCACGCCTCTGAGCGTTTTCCTCCGCGCGCTGATTTCATACCAAACTCATACTTCGCATTCCGCCTTTTCTTTTTCCATCAAAGAAAAGCATTTAGCCCCGGGAGTACTCGCGAGTCCCCAAAACGAGTCCCCCTGCGGAAACGGGAGCGGACCGGGGCGAGCTTGCGGCTCCTGGAGCTGAGCTGGGCAGCCGTTTGCGAGGTGAGTGCGCTCCCGGAGAGTTCTTTGTTGTGTGCTGCAACTTTCATGCCGCAGCAGCTGCTACGCTTCGCGAGCGCTGGAAGTTTTGGGATATTTGACATTTTTCGCATTTCCGCGCTGCGTCTTTGCCCATTGGGATCCCCGTGTGTTTATCTGAGAGTTGCCGCCGTGTTTACTCGGCTTCTCTCGTCGGAATTGGTTACTTTTACTCGGCTCTCGGACTTACTTTTGCAGTTTGTTACGGTATTATTAGCCCACAAGCTAGCCTACTAGCATGTCAGTTCGGTAGTGTTAGCAGAGTCCTTCCATCAGTATACTACATTAAAAGAAATGGCAGTGACGTGGAAGGCACTCAACTTTCTCTAAGTTGTGCTCAAACAGCACGAGGAAGTGTTACATGTAAGTTTTCTTGTCCTGGCAGGAAGATTCGTGCCACATCACAGTAGAAAGCTAAACGGCTCCCAGGCGCTCAGTGATTTCATTTTCCCTCTACATGCTAGCAGCTGGTATTAATTTCTTACTGTGGACGCTTCATCACCAAAATATGAGGATCCTAAAGAAATTAGAGAGAAGATTTAAGTTAATATTGTCCGGAATACAGATTTTTTTTTTTTTTTTTTTACTAATTTGTTGCTCATAATGCACTAAAGATGTCAATTAAAGGGTCCTGGTCCGCTTTACTGGGGTTTAATTAGTTCTACGAAGGTTTCCGGTGTTTGACCAGGGTCGCTAGTTACTGAAGTTTCCATGGATGTCCGAAAAGTGCTGCTGTGATAGAGCCTGAGTAACCATGTCGCTGATGCTCCCGCTGGCGCAGACGGCAGCCTGCGCCGTGCATGTGTGCGCTTTCAGAGTTTGCTGAGCTCATAGTTTTTATTTAGCCCGGTGCTCCAAAGGCTCCCGGCTGCGCCGGACACCTGACCCTTTGGCCGCTGGGAGCTGTATGGAACTGCTATATGGAACTGGCAGAGCCACGTGTGCACAATGCCTCAAGTTGGCATCACCTCTTTTTCTTTTGGTAAAAACCGAGGCGATGATCCCTCAAGTCAATGTTCACATCCACCCCTGTCATTGTGAAATAGGTGGCATTCAATCACTTGTCTGCAGCCCCTCTCCTGAGCAGCCCTCCAGACGTGAAAAAGAGAGAGAGGGGGCTCTTTCTTCTGCAGGCCAGTGAAGCAGAAAGAGGGGATTTACCACTCCAAGACCAAGCAAATGTCACGCATTGGCATGGAGATATGAGGCATGGTGCCTTAAGTTGAAGCAATAGGAATTATTGTCTCATGTTCAGTGCCATCATTAATAGTTGATATTTTACCATTTACAGACACTGGTTTTACTCCATACTGTCAGCCTTACGGTGTATGTAAAAAAACAAAAACAAAACTTGGATGTTATCCCCTTTTCTTAGAAGCCATACAGAATATAAAATAACTCAATATAAACAAATAAATTGGACAGTAGCAGCCTGTACATATTCCACACAGTGAGTGTGTAAAGTCTCGCTTGGAGCATATATGACAGCTTTTTCTTTGAAGGGTTTTAATCTTGGTTTGTTTGTGTGGGCTAGTATTTACAGAGTCTGATGATTTGAAATATATCACAGTAATATTGTGCCCTTTCTTAACCTTCCTGCGTGGCTGGTCCAATCACCGTGGCAACCGCGCAGCCCGGTTACGAGTATTTGAAACGGGAAAGACCCCGCAAACAGTTCGTAGCAGGAGTCGGGAAAGCTGGTCTGTTATGGCCCCACTCTGGAAAACATTACACGCGAGACAACATTCATGTTGAATATTTGTGTTGGTGCTTAAAGAGACATGGAGTAGCCTCAGAAATAACAGAAGAATGTGTAATTTCCTCATGTGGCCCTCACAGGAAAGGTTGCTGGCATCTGAGAAGTTTTAGTGGCAAGAAGGAAACTCCTCTCAACAGTTTTCACACTGGGGGGGATTTTCCAAGGAAAGAGTATAATTGCTCTTGGTTTTTGTTAGGATCAGTTTATTGATGGGTAAACCTTTTCATAGGTTTTGGTAATTGAAAGGGAGTTTATATTTGATTTACAAAACCCTCACAACAGTTGTGTGACTTTTGATGCCAGGACTGTTACGAAGTCTTGAGACTGTTGTAAGAAAGCTGCCGCAGTACTCTGGTCTCTATCCTGTCCAACCATCGAACTGCTCTGGATGTGACTTAACCAGAATAGGTGTGAGGTATCTGTCTCCAATGTTTTTTTAGGAACTGATAACCGACAGTTAGTCAAAGGTCTTCTCAAACAAGGTTTCTTTTCTTGAAGACATTTTTCTCGTTCTGAAACTCTCATGTCTCTCTCCGGGTTTATTACATTAACTTCAGTTTTTTTCCCCTCATTCTGCTTTCAAATGGGACTGAATTTCAGATTTAGTCAGTGTGGTTCACTGCTGATGCAGCACTCAGTTCTGGTTTGGCGTGCGTCCATGCTCCGGGCGTCGGAGCAGCCTCTCCATGTTCGGTCTCTGAGCGTCGGCCACTGAAAAATAACCCGATCCAGTCCGACAAACGTTTGCTTCAGAGAACAGGCCAACTTTGTCCTTATGGTCTATGCTTCTTACAACAACTTTCGTTCTACACAAGTTAATTCATTTATTTCTAAATAAAAACAACTTTCCTCATGTGAGGATTACAGTCAAATCAAAGACAATGAGCAGATTTCTTGGCAGCTGGTGTTGTGGCGAGCTGTGATTGCTGGTGATTTCCAGCTGCTGTCACAAAATGTTTATTATTACCTGTAAATAGACTACTCGGATAGAGTTTGTATATACTGCTGTATTAGACTAATTGAAGGCTGACTTTGTTTTCAAAGGAGGCGGTTGCTTCTATTTCCTGAAACTGCACTGATTGCAAAGGCTTTTCGTCTAAATTCGTCAGCTACAAAAATAAATACTCATCTCTTTTGTGAGATTGTGGTAGATTTTTGTCAGATGCCCTTTTAATGTGGAAAGTTAAAGCATATGTGGGTACGGACCACGTTTTGCCCTCACAAGGGTGTTCTTTTATGAATGTTTAATCATAAGACTAAAGAAGTCTACTGGTGGTAACTTTTCTTTTTCTGTGCTGTCAGGTGTGTTGTGGCTGGAACCGTCACCATTGCGTCGGAGTGGAGTTGCCGTGGCAGCCCTGACGGGGCGCAGGAGGAGAGCAGCAATGGAGAGGTGCTGGCAGACGGGGCAGACCGCGGGCTGGACGGGGACCCTGAGGGCGTGTGGAGTCCAGACATCGAGCAGAGTTTTCAGGAAGCTCTGGCCATCTACCCGCCTTGCGGCAGGAGGAAGATCATACTTTCAGACGAGGGGAAGATGTATGGTGAGGAGCAGCAATTTCCTGTCCCAAAATAATTCACTTTAAGTCTCATTCGGGCCTCTCTGCTTCTATAGCCAAATGCTATACATGGAAGACTTTTTGAGAGGGAGGACAAGAAAAGGAGCTGTGAACATCATTGAGGGCCGCTGCACAGACAGTCACAATCTCTGCTAGACAAAGCGTTACAACTGCATCTAAATCAGTTTACCACTTTAAACACAACCATTGTTTGACTGTATCTGCAGTAACTTTTAATCTGAGTTCTGTGACACAATGGGAAAGCGGCTGGTGGTTTTCAGTTTGTCTATTTCTGTTCAAAAGAACTAGCTTCAATCTTTGTTCAGAAATTGACTCATTTCTAAGTCTATAATCCCCCTGTCTTCACAAGAAGTCCCCTGCTAGCTGTGTAATGATGGGTTTTGTAAATATAACCCCAAAAATTAGATACTGGAGTTAAAAAGAAACTTGATATTCCTTCTTTGCACTTTATGAATAGATCTGATCAGCTTTAAACGCATTGTGCTGAATCATTTCTGTAAAAACGTTATTTCACATATATTGTGCTCTCCTTTACACCCCGTTTATTCATCCACTAATTAATATTAACTATTATTATCCACTATTATACACTCTTTACTTCTGACTCTGATTCCTGTTTGAATCCTGTTGGTTCCAGTCCGTTGGCAGATATCTGTCATGGCCACTTTCCATGAGTATGTACTCAGACATGGGTTGACTCAGATTTTTATTGAATTTTTTTGCATTTTACCTCCTAAAAGTTAAGATTTTAGAACGCACTCACTCTAGCAAGCCTATTCAAGGTGTCTGCAGACCGCTGATTGGCCAGGCCTGAAGGAGTCAATAAAAGTGACTTTTTCTAAAGAACCCTACTATTTTTACAAAAGTGTCAACAGTAAACGGGAGATTTTTTTATTCCTGTGACTGTCAGTGGGTCCACGCTCAAACCAACACCGAGGTTTGGCGGTTTTGTCCTTCGTTGTTCGTGTCTCGCATACAAATAACGTCATGGTACCCACCTGCAGTGGGAAACAACCTGAGTTGTGTTGAGTAGAACTGAGCAGGAACAAGTGGATAAAGGCCAAAAGTTTGTGCACCAGTCATCTGCCTGGAGCTATTTCTGTAGAGTGCTGTTCTAGTCCTGAGGTCAGAGGTCAGCCAGCAGCAACAGTTCAGATCAAGTGAGGGTTAACATACCAAGAAGCCTCTGCTTGGTCTGCTTAAACATTCACAACAGACCAGACTACTCCGATGTGAATTAGGAGCATTAGCCCGTAGAAGCATATGCACTGGGCCTTTTGATTGCTTTTATTAGGGTTCCTTTTGAAGCTTGCCTTGTTTTTTCTTATCCCACCCCCCACTTCACTGAAGGTCTTGGCTGACACCCAGGAGTCCTATTTTCTTGATTGACCTAGTGTGAAGGCATTCTCATGTGCTGCAGCGGGTGCTGTGCAGTCGTGTCACTGTGAGGGTGTGTACAGAGGGAAATAGGATCTGTGGTCCCATGTGACAGAGAGGGAAAGTTTGTTGGAGCATTGCGGCATTTTCTCCTTTAGTGGAAGTGTGGGCCCACCATCCCCACTCATATTCCCCTTCATTTCCATTAAACAAAGAAAGGTGCTTTCTTTCTTTTACACTGACACGTTACTTCGGCTCTCACATTAATTCACCAGGTTATGAATTCTTAACATCGGAAAAGGAATATTGTCATGGTTAAAAGCTATCATTGAACAGGATGCAGTGACTTCAAACATACCGTAATATTATTAATGTAAGGATTGGAAGGCATCATGTAACACAAGTGAGTTGTTTTTATTACAAAAGTTTGAGAGCTTCAATGAAGTCCTGCTGCTAAACTCGGACAGTTGTAACTGATCGCTGTTCTCTTTGCTCTCTTTGCTCGCAGTCATATGTTACCATGATGTAATTCTCGGTTGTTGTGTCAAGCACATATTTCCAAACTGGGACCAACGCAGGCTACACGGGAGAGAAATGACTAAGATGATATTTTGTTTCGTAGGTAGCTCTGGGGTTTTATTTTTGTCTTACCAGACATGTGTGTTTGTAATATTTTTTATCCTTTATAAAGGTAAATGTATGCGGTTCTAAAACTCTAAACTTTATATGCGCAAAGATGTTTGAAAATGTATCGGTTATGCCATTGGTCAGATGTGAGCAGCCTTATTGTGCATAGGGTTGTATTAATGTACATTAATGCCCTACTATTGTCTGGGAAAGGCACAAAAAATATAAAGTGTTGGGGGTCAGTTTGAATCTTGCTGCAGTGATTCAAAGCTTAATAACATTTAATGGTGTGTTTGTTTGTTTTTGTCCGATTTCATGTTTGCATGTATTTTGAAAGTCCATTTTCAATCAAACTACAAAGTACTTACTTGGGCTTTTGTGTTTTTATCATCACACAAATGTGTACCATGCCCTTCATACCCAATGATTACTAAAAGTATATCTCTGCTGAGTCTTCAAAACGAGCCTCACAGTGAGCTTGATGAAAAAAACAAAACGGCATCAACAACATTTCTAAATGACTGTTGATGGCCCAGTTTTGTGTCCACCAGTGTTACAATAGAACATCACACTTAAATATAGTCCTGCAGGAAAAGCGTTTGGCCTCTGGAGGACTGCTGGTAAGCGGCAGAGGTTTTTTGGGGCTTGGAGCGGACTTTTGTGCCTGAGTCAGCCCACTCTGTTCATTTTGGGGAATTCTGTGTTCTGGTAACCTAACCAAGCTGATGTGACTCATCTGACGTCCTCGCAGTGTCAAAGCCTTTCCCAGAAAGATGGAGGGTGATGCTGCTGAAATCCATTTGTGTGATTAGCGTTAACCACTGCTGATGTTTTGTCGGGTTATTTTTAACCTCCCTGCAGCATGTGCTGCACGCCATTTCTGCCCAGACACGAGCTGATCATCCAGTTCAGGTTGGAGCTGAACTGTAGCTCAGCAGGTGGTCTGCAGCGACCACAGTTTATAAGTCTGCTAACAATGTGAGAAACTCTGCTTCCTTTTTCTTTTCCTCTCTATTCACAACATAGCCTTTTCCCATCTGCTTTGGAGCTCCGCAAGCAAACCATTCCAAGATTAAGAGAATTTAGAGAGTCTGTCTTCTTTTAGTGGGAATACCTTACAGCCACAGAAATGGAAAGCCTGACCGTTATTTTAATGATGTGATTTGAGATGGGATAGATTTGAGAGCCTCAGTTAATACCTCACTGGCATTAAAAGGTCATCGTTATGTGTGGTTTCTAAGTGTTTAGATGATCAAAGATTCTCTTCATTGTTTTTCAGGTCGAAATGAGCTGATAGCTCGCTACATAAAGCTAAGAACGGGGAAGACACGCACGCGTAAGCAGGTATGCTCAGATATTTTGTTTTGTTTGTCAAATTAAATGCTTACCTTAAAAGTGATTATTAATGCTTTATGGATGAGTTGTAAAATGCTCCTGTGAATGTGTGTTTTCATGGAATAACCCTGGACCCATAGGTGTCTAGTCACATTCAAGTTTTGGCACGTAAGAGGGTGCGGGAATATCAGGCCAGCATTAAGGTGGGTCCCAGCATCCCCGGCTCTCCTCTGTAGTCACCTTCCCTCTTCTTCTCTTCCCCCTTTCCCTCCCATCTTTTTTTCCCTTCATCCTGTTTTTCTTCAGGTCTCTAGTCACCTGCAAGTCTTGGCCAAGAGAAAGTCTCGTGAGATTCAGTCTAAACTGAAGGTACACAGGCTCACTGACTTTTGCAGTGCCAGCATCTTTGCTCTGCATGCAGCCCAACTCTGAAGTAACCCAAGATTCCATCGTAGATGTAGATGCTTTGGGTTCTGCCTCTCTGTCTGGTAGTTCAGGCGTCTACTGTAGGCCGCAGATCTGTTGTAGGCCCTGTTCAGATCCGTCACTAACTCACATCCTGACCGATCAGATCACCAGTGGGAAGCAACACACCAGAGGACCTGCACCGCAGTGTGTCCACACACACTTCTTTGGGTGATGTTTGTGGTTGGATCTCAGCTACTCTCTTTGACACCAAACACTCGCACATCAGTCACACAGTGATTTGATAAGAAATAAAATGTTCATTAAAATCAGATCTTTGAGGCATTAACATGTCATGTTGGCCCTAAATTGCAGTTATTAAGGAATTCTTGTTGGTAATGTATTCAGCTAGGGGATGTAAACAATGTAATATGACAAATGAGCCTTGAATAAATAGTTTGTGTTGTTGTAGATTTTAGTGTGAGCTCACCTATAGCAGGCTTACTTAAGCTTTTCATGACAAACTTCGAGTTTTTCTTATCATATTTGTTTGATTGTGTTCTTTACAGGTCTCATTTGTTTGCACATTTCTTAACTTTGAGAGCTCACTCAATGTGGAAGCCTCTTTAGGGTGCATGTTTTTGGTTTTGAAGGCGTGTTGTTCTAGCCTCTAGCTCAGGACCTTTCCAGCCTTGGTCATGCACTCTCATGACTTTCTGTTGCTGGCTTTGTTGGTTCCTCCTCTGGACTGTGTTTTCTACCTGGACACTAGAGGAACGTGGTACATTTCTGATTTTTACATTCTTATTCTTCAAAATTTGCTTCAGTACTTTACTTTTCCTTTCACGCCGACTTCATGTGGTTTGTTTGTCCCTTTCCTTTGATTAAATATCTCTATGACACAACTTTGCACCATTCTAGTCCTCTCTACTGTACGTGTAAAGAAGGTCTCATAAAATGTCCAGGTCTAAATGTTTGCTGGAAAAATCAGCACTTCATGGTGGCACAAATTGATATTTAGCTGTACATGTAAGCCGGAGGTTTTTGAGCTCAGCGTGTGTTTGACAGTTTCAGAATTTCAGTCTGTGTGATGTTTTCTATGCTCTTTTCTGAAAAACAGCATAACAAAACAAAGAAATCTATTTGGGTTCATTTGCAGATTATAGGATATACTTTAGTTGAAACATTCAGTGGCCTTTACATTGTTACAAGTACTGATAAAACAGTGACTAAATATTCCCTTGAAAGCCAAAGTTCAAAAATGAAATTTCACTATAGTATGCGTTATATAAAAGTAAAACACAACCTATTGTTACCTATTCTCTTGAATGTACTGGCTTTAATTGGTGTATTACATGTCTTTTTTGCCATAGGCCATGAACTTGGTAAGTTTTTGTCCCACATCTACAGTTCTCTGCTTCATACTGTGTGGTTGGCATCACATTGCTGCTAGTCCACATTAAAACTCTGCTGCAGACTCAGAAACTGTGCTCATTGCTTTTTTTTTGTTTTTAGTGGCTTTAGTCAAATGCTGGTGATGGTTAGCTTCTCTAGTTTGGTGCACCTTCTGCTTTTGCCTTCTTTTAGGTCTGCTTTGCTCTGTTCTGCCGTCTCATGTAGTTGTGCATCATGCTGAAAGACAGCGTATGTTGGCTGGCTTGCTGTCTAAATTGACCTTTTAAAAATGGCTGACGTTGGAATGACAACCTGCATTAAAATGGACATTTCAGCACAGGGCATTTTAATTGTTCTTCACTCTGCCTTTGTGTTTCAGGACCAGGTATCCAAAGACAAGGCACTGCAGACTGTAGCAAACCTGTCGTCTGCTCAGATTGTGTCTGCGAGTGTGATGAAACCTCAGACTCCCTTCCCTCCACCAATCAGAGTGAGACTAAATCTGACAGACACATCTGTTTTCGTTTTTATGGCTTCTTTAAAGATCTGAGTAATCCGTCTTGCCTGGTTTCTGATCTTTCTTGTTGCTCAGTTTTGGCCCGGCCCTGTACCAGGACAGCCTGAACATTCTCAGGAGTAAGTACCAGTGCAGTGTTGCTTTGTTTTTATGGTGTAATGTTTTTTTTCTTTGCATAAGCTGACGCAGATTCTCCTTTGGTTCTCCTGTTCTTCTTAATATCCACAGCATTAAGCCTTTTGCACAGCCTCCGTACACTACACTACCAGCCCCCGTCCCTCCACCCATCAGTAAGTGTGGAAACATGGGCATTCATTTCACCATTTGATATTAATGCGGTTCTTGTAATGATGTGTTCCTGGTTTGAACCTTTTACAGGTTACGATGCCTTGCCTCCCCCCCGACCTGCAGCCATAGCGGTTCCCGTATGGCAAGACAGAACCATTGCCTCGGCAAAGCTACGTCTACTGGAGTACTCTGCGTTTATGGAGACCCAGAGAGACAGAGAGATGGTACGGGCCCTCTCAAAGAATCCTAACCCCCAGTGTATGGGAAAATAAAAGCTGTTTGTTCCCCCGGTTTCTTAATGTTTCCACAGTTCAAGCATCTCTTCGTTCACATTGGGCCTTCAAACCCAGGCTACAGTGACCCAGTGCTGGAGTCTGTAGATGTGAGGCAGATTTACGACAAGTTCTCAGAGAAGAAAGGGGGCCTGAAGGAGCTGTACGAGAAAGGCCCGCACAACGCCTTCTTCCTCGTTAAGTTTTGGGTTAGTTCAGAAATCCAGCCACGTTAAAGTCAGTTTCAGCAGCATGACAGTTTACGATGCTCAGCCTAAACAGTTTGGTGGCCCATGCTGTATTTGTTTCTCCTGTCAATCGTTGCTCATCCTGTGCCTCAGGCGGACCTGAGCAGCGACATCGAGGAGGGTTCGGGTGCATTCTACGGAGTGAGCAGCCAGTACAGTGGCACAGAAAACATCACCATCAGTGTTTCTACAAAGGTCTGCTCCTTTGGCAAACAGGTGGTGGAGAAAGTTGAGGTGAGTACATCAACCTTATATTACACCTACAAAACTCCACAGTTTCAGTCCTGACACAAAATTTCACCTGGATCCTTGTTGATGTTCCACCGTCCAGACGGAATATGCGCATTTGGAAGGAGGAAAGTACGTGTTCCGCATCAATCGTTCACCCATGTGTGAATATATGATCAACTTCATCCACAAGCTGAAACACCTGCCAGAGAAATACATGATGAACAGTGTCCTGGAGAACTTCACCATTCTTCAGGTATTTGTATGCCTTTAAAAAACTAATCTTAGGAACTTGACACCCAAAATATGAAAAATGTAAATGGATTTCTTAATCTTCTTAATCTTAGTAAAAATATTTTATTCACAACAAAAGATGGAAAACATCAAACAACTTCTTTTAGATTTTCAAAGATGGATAATTCTTGAATCAACATAATTTATGTTTCATTTATATTCTGCATCGCAACTAAATGAAAATGTATTGTATTTTCAACTGAATAACTTTGATTATTACTCAGCCTTATGATAATCCTTGTTTTGTTTTGTTTTTAATTTTTGTCAGGTGGTGTCCAACAGAGAAACTCAGGAGACTCTGCTGTGTATTGCCTTTGTGTTTGAAGTGTCCACAAGTGAGCATGGAGCACAGTACCATGTTTATCGACTAGTAAACGACTAGCAGCATGTTACACGCATGCATGGAAAGACTCTTCAGACTTTTTGATACATACAGCTCAAACACTATTTCCAGCTCAGCCTACAGAACCCCCACTCCTTTTACTCTGAACACCTGTTTGTTTTTATTTGACCAACCGTCACACTGTAGTCACACCAGTTGTTTTATGTATATGTCCTCTCATTGCTGCAAGTCTGGACAAATATAACATCCCAGAATAGGTCAACAGTCTCACAACTGTTTCCTGTGACCTTTTGTTTCAACCCATTATGACCCCATGCAGCACATCCGCTTTTACCCTTTTAATCAGTGTCATATGTTTTTATCAACATTTTAAAACGCATATACCTTTGTAATTTTTTTTTTTTTTTTTTTTTTTACAATATTGTTAAATGAAGAGGCAATATCAGTAATTAGCAATAAAAGCAGCAGGTCTGATCGCAAAGTTTCCCAAAAATCTTTGATTTTGGTCCTTAAAGGTTGTCTGAGGCAACCATTTTACTGACAAAGCTCCTGAGTAAAACACTTATGTGACATTCTTTAGAATGAAACAGAAGCTTTGTCTCCAACTCATGTTTTTACGTCATTTTCCCCCACATTTACATTTAAATCATAGGTGAGGCTGATGTGAGACGAGTTTAAATATGTAATTTGACAAATCATTTAACCACTGTTAGTGTAACCTGTCACAGTGACTGTTTCTTGTCCTGACTGTCGTATGTTTGAAAGGTACCATTTGAACAAACTGTCCCCAATATATCCTCTGTTAGTTTAGCTTGATCGAGAATCACATTTCAGAAAGTCTGCCTCTCCTTAGAAACAAATGCACTACGCGTTAAGGCGTGCACCACATATTTATTTTTTTCAACAGTAACATGGTATTAAGAGAGACTGATTATTTTGGGGAATATTTGGTCTTTAAAGGTTTCCAGAAGTACACGCTATGCAGGGGAAACCTGAAGGAGGCGCGTAAAAAGCAGAAACGGTCAGGGTCGCACCTTTTTAGTGAGATACTTTTACTGTTTATCCTCCGCCGGTGTGGGCTTGCTGCAGTATTTCTACCTCCACACGAGATGGGATAAGAATGTGCTTTGATTCTTAAAGCCTTAAGCTGAGGGGCACTGATGTATAGGATGTATACACTACATTTGTAACGGTACTGTTTGGAAAGCCAAAACAATATAAATAGATGCATTTTTGTAAGTCTTTTTTCCTTTTTGTCATATTTGACCGGCACACTAAACGCCCTGAAAAGGTGATGTTTTAGTTGTTGTATGAATGGTACAGACTATATAAAGGTCACTCACAGTGCACTGGCATAGATGTGCCCATTAACACTAACAAACTATTCATTTGACACATTTCTGTTTTTGTAATGGATCACTGGTCCAAAGGGCTGGCATCATCTATGTGTATATAGACTAAAATAAGATTTCATATATATATATATATATATATGAAACTTTTTCTACCCCATCAGGTCGTCTCCTCCAGGGAATGTTTTTTACCACGTTGAGACGGACTTATCTTTGACTGTCATGACAACAAGAGCCATTTGGTTCCGTTTTGAATAAAACTGTCACTTCATTTCTACTCATTTTATTTTATCCATACACTCGGTCTGTGTATTATGTCTGCCTTTTCTTCACCAGTCCTTTGATCATGTCTGTTCAGAACATGCAGTGCGTGCCTTTATGTCTTTATGTACCAATAAAAAAATGAAGAAAAAAAAGCAGCTGTGGATTCATTGTTGATAAATTCTATAAATATACCCCGAGTTCACTTGTACCTGTTCAGTTGATCTTATAGGGGATAAAGCATTGTTATTTGCTGAGATTGTAACAGTGTGCTATAGTAACTGTTTATATCTGGGTTATAACCTGAGCTCTCTGGCCTTGGATTGCAGTATATATCTCTCCTGCTAGGTGGTGCTGTCACCATATGTTTACATGTTGGCTCTAAAGGACAGCCACCTCAAACCTTCACTTTCTCTGCAAATGATATCTCATAAGTCTGACATTGAGCCTTTAAAGTTTAAGATGATCACAATCATATATCCACTCAGATTATTTATATTTCTAATCAAGCAGTGCTATCAATAAGATTTTATAATAATTTATTTGGAATATGTACACTTTTTCTTTTACTTTAAAAAACAACAACACATTGTCAGCTTTGTTTTGTCGACATGAACCTTTTAAAGACAGATCCATTTAAAGGGGTTCAATCACCTTTAAGGACAAACCGAACAACGAAAACAAAATGTGTGAGCTCAGTTTCATGCGGCAGACCTCGCGCAGTGTGGGTGTTGGAGTTCATCAAACTGTTCTCAAATGTTCGGGAAAGATTGAAAACACAAGTCGTTTATTACATGTCTCAGAGTGGGCAGCTATCCAAGCCGTCCTCAAACTGAAGTGATCAGCATTCTTTCATAGGGGTTTGGTCTTTCGGTGCAGCAGCTCATAAAGTGGTGGTGCTTTTTGTTTTTTTGGGGTGGGTTTGGCATAAGAGGAAAAGGCTTGGTGTGAAACGGAACTGTAAGAAAAAAACAGCAACGGTTTTCTGACCTGTTCTTTTCTCACTCTTACTTGTGAGCTCTTCTACTAGTTTGCTTCCACATTTACAAAAGTTAGATTTTTTTCTTGGAAAAAAAACTAATCAGCCCGTGTTGCCTGTAGCTGAATCTGCCTGCTTCACGTTGGCTCAACTCTAAAGCTGACTAGCAAACAACAGGTGTGCGAGCTGTCACTCAAACGGTGAGCCATGAGCTCACCTGAGTGGATTCACCGACGCACCTGCCGTCTCTCTTTGTCCAGTTTTTGAACCGACACGTTTTCCGTGATTAGTTCTGTTTGTCATCAAACGCACACATGGATGCGCGTGACTAAGAATCTGTGCATTTATTGCCAGTCTGAAGTTAAGTGATGGGTGTGGTGGGAAAGGAACACCAGGAGAAACACTGCCAAAACCATCTGGCTGTGCAGCCAGCATGGGCCCAAATTGCCACCAGTTCCCTCCCTGTCTTGTCTTCCACGAACTTATCTATCTCGTCCTTCTGACGCCTCCTGCTTTCTTTTTTCTCATGTTGACTCGTGCTTGCTCATCCCGTCTCACGTTAAATCAGACACCAAGAAGCAGACCATGAGGTCAGCCTCTACAAGGATATAACGGCAAACATTTTCTCTTGCGCGAAAAATAAATGAATGGCTTCATTAGTGCCGAGACGTTACTCGTATCACAATGGATGTTCAGTCACTCAGCCCGGCGTCATAGTTATCACCTGCGTTAGAATCTCTGAAACACGGAGGAGAGATGAGCCGGCACTGCATTCAGTAAACTGGGACTAAGTTGAGAAATTGTGCATTAATGCAAGTTTTCATAGATATGAAAAAAAGCAAATTATTGCCTATTTTTTTAACCATAAAAAACTTCTATGGCGAAACCACCAAGAACAAACTTTCCAAAAAACAGGGATTTCAGTGTTATTTTTTCAAGCCATTATCTGCTTTTACCGTTATGTAAAACAATCATTTTAACTTTTAAACTGTATCTTAAAGAATATTTCAGAAATAGCATTAATTATATCTGTTATCAATAGATAACCCAGCACAACAATAATAATAATAATAATAACAGAAATAACTTGGCTGATTTTTCTTCAGCTATTTGAGGGGGAAGCAGTCACAAAATAGCTCTCATTGTGTTAAATTACAGATAACTTACGGGCTTAATTCGAATAGGTCCCATTGTGATGATTTTTAGTATGTGTGGTTGTGTAGGCCTGTTTTAAAGTCAAACGTTTGGGAAGATAATGGGAATATCTCCCCTCCTTTTTCCCTGCTCCTAACTCCAATGTGTCTAAAACAAACGGTTGATCCAAAAATGGGCTTTAAGCTGCAGACGTTTAAACAAATGACTGCCTTCAATAGCCAATAACAGGTCTGCAGGTTGAAATAATAGGTTTAAAGAAAAGCTTTCTGTTGTAATGAGCCTGTGTGGGATGTTTACTCTTCACCTGTAGCTCAGTAAGAAAGAGCTGTTGTCCACTATTTGGAGGGTCAGTAGTTCAACTCCAGGTTCCCTCCAGACTGGAGGAGTCCTTGGGCAAGGCTCTGAACCCCAAGTTGCCTACTGGTGCAACCAGTGTGTAAATGTGTGTGTGTGTGTGTTAATGGTGAATGACACGTAGTGTAAACCGCATTGAGTAGTTAGCTTGACTACAAAAGCGCCTTATAAGTGCAAGTGCACTCACTTTTACCTTTGGTGACCCCCTCGGGCTTGCGGTGACCGTGGTGCGCGGCTCGGCCCCACCCTTCATCCAACACCTTTCTCTGAAACGTCTTTCGGGAGCCGGAGGGGCGCGGCTCGTTGGGTGGAGTCCCTCTCCCGCAGCTCAGTTCTGGGAACGCTCCACTAAATCTGCATTCTTGGCTCGTTCGCAGCTTTCGCTACTACGGCGTCTCTCCTCTGCTTCTCCGCGGGGCCCCTCTCTCTTCCAGGAGGCCGCTTTGAATCAGTCTATTCTCGGCAAGTGGCCGGGGAGGAGGAGGAGGAGGAGGGGAAGGTGGACACTCACTTAACCATGGAGCCCCTGCGGTCAGCCACGGGGTACGGGCTCGCGGAGGACACCTCGCTCGCGCTGCCCTCCGACAACACCCTGAGCTCGGGACGCCAGCGCGTGCTCAATCAAGTTGGCAGCATGAAGCGGAGCAAGTCCAGGCGGGACCGGGACAAGAACGGCACGCTGTCTCCCGCTACAAGTACGAAAACCGACTTTACGAGAGAGAGTTTCCAGCGGGAACTTTCGTTCAGGAGACAGGGGCGGCGGTAGTATCTGTCAGGTGTCATTAGAACAACACTTAGGAGCGTTGTATGGCCATTGTTTTTCTTTTCGAAAGTGCGACACAGCTTTTTACAGGTGCCCTCCTCCGGACTGGCTCTCCTCAGCTGGTTTTGGGTCACTCGGTCTGCATCTGCGGATGCGTTTTCAAGGCCCCGGCTGGAGTTTTGTTTTTAATAACCCGCGTTTTGTTTCCATGGTTCCTCCCAGAGACAGGAATGCAGAACACGGGGCAACAGAAACCCGCGCACAGACATTTAGAAGTACATTTCAGACTTGGTTCCTCTTCCCGAGGCGACAGAAGATGTCAGACAGACGAGTGCAGGAGCTCCTCTTTCAGTGCGAGTTAGTGGAAGGCTTTGGGCAGATTCCTGCACCGTCTGGGGCTTCGGGGTGTGTGTGAACGCACCTCTGGCCCTCACCAGGACCTGACGCAGTTTGGGATGATGTGAGCTGTGAAAGCTGGTTAAGAAGGAAAGATGGTGTCACTTCTGGTGTTTTCACTCATTTGGTTTTATTGATAAAAAAAAGAAGAGTTCAGTCAGTGATTTCTTTTAGATTAAAGGGGTTGTGAGGCGTATGAGTGTAAATCTACGGGATAGTTAGATGAAGCACCACATAATTTAAGTGGAGCTCACTTCAGAGTGATTAGGATTGAATGACTATACCTAAATACGTGATAGAGAGTTTTTCATAGTTTATGATCCTTGCTTTCCCTACAAAGACACTGTTTTGATCATGGTGTCATGTATGAAATCGCTTCAAAAGCTCTTTTTCTAGTTTCTCCTGGAAATTTGTCCACCATTTTCCGGACATTCTCCTGTGATCTGTTCCCTTTATCCTGCAGAACATGTTGCTGCTCAGCGTAAAGTTTCCTGTCAAAACTCGCAGTGTTTTGCGAGCATTATTGGAATTTATCAGCCTTTCGAAGGTCTTTTTGTTTGGAAAGATGGTCAGTATTCACTTTGGGAGGTTGCTACTGTCGTGCGACAAGTGTCTTGCTGCTCTTGCATTTCACACAGCTTGAGACACGTGTTGTGTCAATGAATCATCCGAGGAGACAGACAGACAAAGCTCTGAAACATGATGGTTATCCCTTAGTTAACGCCCAAATTATAAAGCCTGTTGGTTTTAACTGACATTATGTCTGGTCTGTCCTTGTGTCTTACTGAGAGATTGAAGGCGATCCTGTCCATCAGTCAGAGTAAAGCTCTGAATAGTTATTCTTTAACCTTCTGGGCAGCTGTATGAGCAGCTGAGTGATAAATTCTCACCTGTGATAATAATCATGAATTAAAACTATTAATAGTAGACCATTTAGTTTTCATGCTCTCTCTAATTGGCTTCTCTTTCTGTCTCCCAGAGTTTCAGTTTGCTTTAATTGTTATTTTTTTCAACAGGCCCGACTCAGGAGGTTTTCTCAACCTATAATGAGTTTGGAGGATTCAAGTTCTCTCCAACCAAAGCAAATGGCCACTACAGGGGCATCAACTCCGTATCATCAGGAACTTCCAAAATGGTAACACATGTGCTTTTTATTTTTGTCCAGAAGTTCATTTAGTTACGCTTGCACAGAATCAGGTGAGATGATGTCTCAGGCTGTAAATAAATAAGCTAATTTCTTAAATTGTTGAAGAAATAAAAAAATCCCTGGATGGACCTGTTTTTGATGTAAATGGGCTAACACAATACACACATCCATGCAACATGGGCAAGCAACATCCATGGTTGCATGCCCGTGCAACAGGTGCATGGGTGTGTGTGGGTGTTGCTTCTCATTATTGGGTTGACAATTTGGAATAGTTTATATAAATGGAGAATAAGATGAGCCATGGAGAAGTTTTTAAAAGGAGAGCTAAAGTTCCACAATCATAAGTTGTCCTTCACGTTGTCTGTTTTGTTTGTCTCAGAAATAATCGGGACAAACCTTTGGTTCAGTGTAGTTATTAAAGAAAGAGTAGGAATGATATCTGTCTTTAAAAAAAATACATAATTGTGCTCTACGTGTTTTCACACACTTCAGAAATTAGCCATGTTAAGGGGAAACTTTATGCTCACATATGGAGCCCCTAAGGGGACATGGAGAGTTTTGCAAGATCTCTTCTGATTAAGAAACACATATATCGCATGTATATATAAAATTACTTGCTTTGAGCTTTGGCTTCAGGTCCACTTGACTAGGAGACACAGATTTAAATGCCCAAAAGATCCCTTTCGGACGTTTAAAGAGAATTCTTGCAGAAATGGATGTTAACTGGAACAACTGAACCGGTACTAAATAGTCAAATCTAAATCTTAAAAAAAGATTTTGTGAAATTCTTTATCCATTTTCATCTCTTTTTATATGCTTTTTGAATGCTTTGACAACAATATCAGCATGACAGCGATATCATGTATATAAATGACGATATGTACATAAAGAGATTGGTCATGTTGACAAAGGGATTTTATGGCAATTATAATCAAAAGACAGAGTCTACTCATTAAATAAGAAAGGCAGATTTGAATATGTAACCCATGCTTTATTTATTTTCTTTTGCATATTTGTGTGTGTGTGCGTGTGTTTGCTGCGGGTTGGCCTGATGTGAACCTCTGACACAGAGCTGAGACATTTCCAGGGCGTCTGATGGTATGCTCTGGCTGTGCTACGTGAACATCAAGTCATGTGTAAAAGTGTTTTTTTGTCACATCGTGCTCTGCAAAAGCTCGGCAGGCAGAATTATTTAAAGATCCATGCAAAGGCTTACATAACTTTAGAATCAAAAGCTTGGGCATAGGCCACCATGTGCCACAGCCTGTATGTCTGAGCCGAGCCAAGGCCTTGGACAGCAAAGAATCTTTGAGTTTCATCAGCAATACTTGATTTACTTTACTAAATTTCTACATTAACATTCAATAACTTCCCAATTCTGGGCTTAATAAAGTATATACTGTCTTCCCCTTAAACCTGGTGTAATCTCTGTAGCTCCCTGTCTTATTCTAAACCCTTTTTAAAGCTACAGCGTAGATGGTTTTATGAAGGGGCTGAAATTTTTATCTAAAGATCAATTTAGAAAGGGCCCTTTGTTGAATTCTGACGTTTTAAAGCTTTTAACAACCCAAAGCTCAAGGAGAAACAAAAATGTAAAACTGGTTCAATGTTGTTCGCCTTGGGTACGATGGTGGTTTTCCTTTTGCGTGCAACGTGAGGAGAAACAGAATGTTTGACTGTCACATGGATTTAATTTCATATTTGTATTGAAAGAGCTTGTGTTCCCAAGCCGGTTTGGTTTTGGAAACCTTTTTAAAGATGTTAGTTAAACCTTGTGGGTTAAGTGACCCAAATAATGTTAATGGACATATTATAAATTTTTAAAAAACATAATAATGATCTCAAAATAGGAGCAAGAGCAATTTCTCCATGCTGTGTCAATGTGCTCATTCTAGATTCCCTGGCTTGTTCAGGTAAAGAGAACTGTGAGAATAAACACTCTGTCACGACTTATTAAACGTGCTACTGGCACAGCTCCATCAGGCTTTTACTGCCAAGATTCATGACTGACACGCATGTGGTTGCTCGGCAGCCAGTTTTGCCTTTGAAAAAGGTGTGAGTCCCTTTTTCCCCCTCATGTGCTGTTGCATAACCCAGTGCTTCATCCCAGATATGATATCAAGCTTCACTGGTTGGCATCGGCAGGTTTTCAGTTTTGGGTTTGATGACTTGATTTGGTGGTGACTTTCATCTTCTCGGTGTTGTGATGTGGCCTCGTTAGAAGAGTTGAATGTTTTAAATCTGGTGCAAATTTTCTTCTCTGACATTTTTTAAAGTTTTTATCTTGATTGCTTGTTTTCTAAAGAGCCAAAAAGCATAAGACATAGTAAAGGCTTAACCATTACTGTCGGTTGGCATGTTTCTCATATTTCCCACAGGCTTTTTTAAGGTTCTCTATTGTCCTACTATTCTGGATAACTTGAATTTTGGGTAATTAACTGAGGCATTAAGAATGGTTATGACTCATACAAAATTGCTGCTTCTTGAGAAACCACTGCTTTGTGCCAGCTGTTGTATAATCTTTACACTGTTTGTATTGGTGTCCTTTTTGATGTTGCCGTGGTTGATGTGAGTGTGAGCTACATATCACTGCCTCAACATGATCTGAGCAAAGGACGGAAAGTAGGATGTGGGCAAGTTTAGGGTCAGGTCAAATTCTTCCGTCTTTGGTTACAACAAAATACCTTCCTTGTTTTTGCCTTACTTACTCTTTTGTGTGTTGGATCATTGCTACAGGGAACCCTAAAAGTTTATTAGTTATTTAACAGCTAATAGTATTTAAACTAGATGTGACATATAAGTAACAATTTACTTGTATTAAGGACAATTTGTCCTCTTCAATGTCTCCGAATTTAAGTCTATGTTAGAAGCCTAATGTATCTTTGCTCCTGGAAAACTTAACTTGTGTGATTTAATATATATAAATGTGTAATTAATATTATCTCAGCAGTAAATATAAATGCTTTGTGTACAGAAAAAACAACAGCTGATCTATATGTTTTTTTCTTTAGAGAAACAGTCAATGGAGACATTCTGCATCCACCAGAAACACATCAAGCAGACACTTCAGCAGCTCGGGCATATTGGAATATGAACTCGGCCACTCTAACTTGTCTCAAGCTGCCAATGGGCTGAAAACAAGTCGTAGCGATCCTGCTTTGGTTCCTCCTGGTGTCTTTGCTCCTGCTCCTAGCATGGTAATGGATTTTTGTTTTACTTTGACTATCCTTTGTATGATGTTCACAAATCCAATGGCCCACCTCTGTGAAATCTAATGATAAACTGCTTTTCTTCTTGTAGAGAGCAAAAGGACAGGTGGTCAAAAGCCCGAGCACCATGCAGGCTCAAGGAATTACACGGAGCACCCATTCCGTGATCAGTGGCGTGAATTTAAATAGAAGCCAGACACTTGTCACCAAGTCACCTGTTTCACTCCCTACTTTTGAGGGAAAAATGGGTACCTTCAAAGCCTCCAAAGTAGAGCAGACATCGGCGTAAGTTGACCCACCCCACGTGCTTTTGATTTTCTCTGAAATGCATCAAAAGAATTTCCAGCATTAGGATATGATCTTGCAGAACCCAAAACGTCAAACTCCACTGTCTTGCCTTTTCTTTTCCTCTCCTTTTTAGGATGAGCTCTGCTTTGTCCATGCCAAACATCAGCCTGGAGGAAGCTGTCAATCTGCTGTCTCTCACTGGGCCACTGGACCAGCAGCGTGGAGCAACATTCATTCAGCACATCACCTACGAGCAGGAGACTGCTAAAGCAGAGGTTGGTGGTGCTCGCTGTCAGTTATTTTCAAACTGTCCCTGTGTGGGGGCTGCGTTGTGTTCTTGCTCTGGAAAGATCTGTGTTACCTTACCTCGAGGGAATGCTGGAAAAATTCCCTCCTAACAGGACATACCCTTTGACTGCTTCTTTACATTTTTTTGCAGTTAATGTTTAAAGTATATCCGTCTGACTCTGTCCAATTTTGCAATTTTTACTGAAGCACAGAAAAACATCTCAGTATACCATTTGGAGAAACTGAGAAAAATGTGATTTTTTTCCTCTGTCAGTGTGATTAAGTTCCGAAACTAAGCCCCCCTTCCCCCAAACTTTCTGCTGCAGGTTTTAAGACTTGGAGGTGTGCAACATTTGGTGGCTCTGCTGAAGAGCACCCAGCCAGAGGTGAGCCAGGCTGCTGCTGGCGCTCTGAGGAATCTCTGTTTTAAGGAGCAGGAAAACAAGCTCGCGGTTCAGTCCTGTGATGGAATCCCTAATAGCCTACAGCTGCTACAGAACACAGATTCTACTGAGACCCAGAAACAAATCACTGGTAGGTTTTTTTTCTTCAGTGTGCAACCTTGAAATTGCTGTACTTCTTGATATTTACACAGCTTTGTAGTGTGTGGTATAAATCGCTGGCTTCAGCCTTATTTAAGGAAGTCTTTAATTTCGCCTGATGTAACTGTCCTGCATGTCCTGTTTACGGCAGGCCTGCTGTGGAACCTCTCATCTACTGACACGCTGAAGAATGATCTCATAAAAGAGGCACTGCCCGTCCTGGCAAAGCATGTGGTGATCCCGTTCACCTGCGGTTCCGACGACATTTTGAAAGCGCACATAGACCCGAGCGTCTTCCACAATGCAACAGGCTGCCTGCGGTGAGGATGTTTCAGTCTCTCAAATCTGTTCCTCGTTCACGCTTTGGGTTTGCACCCTTCAGGGCTTATTTAACCCATTTTAAATGTGCTGCATTGATAATTCAAAATGTGCTCAGTGAGAAGTTCATTTAATCTTGAAAACTGCTACTATGTTGCTCTAAACTTGTGCTTTCACCTAAAAGTGAAATTGTATGTGAAGGTTCTACATGTATTGAGCAGAGATTAATAACCATACGATGGTGTATGTGTAGAAACCTGAGCAGCGGTCCATCGGAACACAGGATGAAGATGAGAAAATGCGATAACCTCATCAGGTCCCTCATAAGTTACATACAATCGTGTGTGGCTGAGGAAAAGCCAGATGACGAGGTAACCATCTGAACAACTGAGGCAGCTTTTAGCCCAACACTCTCTGCCGCCACCCTCTACCGTGTGAGAGTAACCAGTCAAATCACAGGAAATAATCTTTAACTTTTCAGACCCTTTGCAGAGGATTTTATTGATAGATTTTAAGATGAAAGCATCTTAAAAGCATGGTCCTATTGGTATGTTGTATCAGAGGTATGAGAACCTCACAGGCAAAGATTTCTGGCAATTTTCTTCTCACTGACGTGATGGTGTGTGAGCAAGCAAGAACAGATGTTTAACTCGCATCTGGTGACACACTCTTTTTCACTCACAGCTCTTCTACCACAGCTGTGTTAAGTCCACATATTAGAAATACAGTATTTCTTGAAGTTCATTTACACGCTTTCTGGGTGAACAAATACACTCGCGGTCATTGCCCTCTGAATCTTTGTGTGTTCACTGTTGTGATGATTTGGAGTTTTTGAATCTTGATTTTACATGCTTAACAAATGCGATGTCATTGGTTTTGGATGCTCATGGCCTTTCTTATCGATTTTATCTTTATCACTTGCTCTTCAAATTGGAAGAAATGCAATTTCTAGACTAAAAGTCTCATGTTTAAATGTGCATATATCCACTTTAATAAGTCAGTAAAATTATTTTCTGTTTTTAATCTAAAGATAAGTCTCCTCACACATGACAGAGTTCATAGATGAAACATTCAGACTACATTCTGGTAAAGTGGGAGCACTTTAACAAACTAATGGTGGCCCTTCCTGTCTTTTAGTCTGTGGAAAATTGTGCATGCATTCTTCATAACTTGACCTACCATCTGGAGGACGAAAACCCTGAAAGTTTTAGCCACTATAACTCTCTGGAAGAAGACCAATCTGAGAGGAGGAAGAGCCCAACAGTTGGATGCTTCAGCCCCAGGAGCAGCAAGGCTCAGAAACTGGTGGGCATCAGCTATAACCTGCCAATCGTCCCTCTTTCCAATCACAAGCAGCTTTTAGTCTGAACCTTCCCACTCTTCTCTTCCCAGTTTTCAGTTGATAACACTAAAACACTCTCAGAAACCAATGGCTTATCAGATATAAGCCTGTTGTGCCATCCTAAAACCATGGATGTTTACCTGGCTCTGCTGAGTTCGTCAAAGAATCCTGCCACTCTGGAGGCCAGCTGCGGTGCCCTGCAAAACCTCACAGCCAGTAAAGAACAGGTTCGTGCCATGACATTTATTGCTGCTATTTGTGTTCTGTTGGTCAGCTGATGGTTGGATCTAGCAGGCTTTAAGACAGAGGAACCAAAATATTATATTTGAGACAGAGTGGTTGAATTGACACGGTTCTGTTTATGTTGATTCCGGTTTGTAGAGGAAAATCTTTGGTTCTTTCAACCTCTGAATATTGGCATTGAATATTCCACACTGTGCATTTGAGTGAAGAGGAGCTTGGAACTTACATGTCTCCTCCTTTTTTGTGCTTTCTTTCAGGGATCCGCTGCTGTGAGCGAGGTTTTGGCTAAGAAGCTTGATTCTATGTTTGTTTTACCCTTGCTTTTGAAGTCATCTAACAAAACCCTCCATAAGATCACTATTTCTTTGCTGGATAACATGTCCCGCACCAGCAGTGTGCAGGCCGTCCTGGGTAAGAAGCAGCATGCTGATTAAAGATGAGCCATATCAACCCCTAATATGTAGATAATAACAGAATGAAGCATTTAATTAAAAAGACAAAATTTTGTCATGAAAATCACTGCATGAGCTCAGCAGTTGTCCATGATGTATTATGACATTCATTATGTTGTGAGTTAAAAATCGGCTTGATTGCACAACCTTACATTTAGTAGCTTTTTTGGAAGGTTTTCAAGGTCCTACCTTGAGACTTGTATTAACAAGGGAATATGGTGAACTGCTCTAATACTCTGATCCCCATGTAATTGTTGAATAGGTGTTCATATATTCACAAACAGGTGAATGAAAGAGGGTCACACTTTATGTGGCCACTCTTTTACTTGAGCCTCAGTTTTCTAGTTTGAGTTGGAGTCACATAAATGTGTGACTTCACATTAAACCAGTTTGCCTTTTCCTCTATAGGAAAGCCGGTGTTGGCTGATCTCATCCAAATTCTCCTCAAGAATGTCAATGACGTTAGGGAGTCTGATGAACTTACAGCAACAGTTTGCAACATAATACGGAGACTGATGCTGGCAAACAGTCAAAAAAGCAAGACGCTCATCGATGGAGATCTACTTGAGTTACTGAATGAGCTCAGAGCGAAGAAGTGAGTTTTTCTATATTTTCCCTTTCCTAGCAGAGACCCTCTGCTCACTGCTCACTCCTGATCCCCTCTGTTCTGTCATAGGTCGTTTCCTAAATGCAACAGGGCAGCCTCAGTGCTACTGTACAGCATGTGGAATGACAAGACATTGCAAAACTATGTGAAAAAGGTAACATTTTTCATTAAAACGTGCACAGAATGAAGATTTGTACAAGCCGGCTCATGTTTGCACTTCCCTGTAAAAGCTGTGGGACGGCCAAGCTTAAATGCATGGGTGTTCATTAGTCACTTTCTCTTCCTTTTTGCCACACCCAACACTGGAGCAAAGACAGAACCATTTACCCTGGAATCTCGGCAGACAGGCTGTCAAAGCTCAGTTTTCTTTGTGGGAAGAGTTATATTGTGTTGAAATGGGGGAAGCAAAGCAGAATTGCAAGCAGTGGCAGCCATAAAGGGTACATGGCACATGTCCATTTTTTCCTACAAAATTATGCATGATTTGATGTATCTGTATTAACGAGAAAACGTAGGTAAAAACATGTCAGGCAGGTTGAACTGGTTAGAGTGTGAAAACCCAACAATTTCACTCAGACGTGATCTGCTAGAGGCTCCTTGCGGGGTTTAGTCCAGCATGCCTCTGCTTCCATTTAGTTCTGATGTCATGAATGTTATTGAATCTCTGTGACACTGTTTATTGATTTCTTAAAAGTGTCTTTGCTCCACAGTTTCCAGGTATGAGCAAATCATTCTTTATCAACCAAACAACGCAGAATTACGTCAAAGAGTCCTTATCAGAGTGAAAGAGATGGAGGTGTTTAAAGACAACACCCTGCCTGGGAGGTACGGTCTGCTTATGAATGCTCGCAGTTTTCAGTCTTTCAGCAGAAATTTTGTGGGGAGTGACATGAGCCAAATGAGTATGAAAATGATTCATTTTTGTATCTCTGTGTTTCTTCTCCATCTCCTCTATGGGCTCATGCCTGTGCTTGCAGATAGAAACCAGCATGATTAGAGGCTCCAGAGGACACACCCTAGAAAAACTCTACAGCAATCACTTTTTTCATGAAAGAGCCTATCAATTATGACTCATGTATTGTACAATTATTTGCTGTATATATAGCGAGAAGGGGACCTAAAGTTTTATAAAGAATATTTTAGCATGTGTATTTAATATAGAGCGATCAGTGTCAGTTAAGTGCCATTGTATGCGCTGAAATTTACAGACAGCAAAGCGCATCAGGGACAGACAGTCAATCCACTTAAATGTTGCTCTCGTATTTCGTTAGCTTCACAAATGGACCCACTGTGTGACGAATCATCATTCATGCACAACAGACGGTGACAGCAAGACACAACATATGTGTTTAGACCAGAGGAGCTTAAACTTGAGCAGTTACAGAAGAAATATGGAAAAAACAAAAACTGGCAAACATGATCTGTATTTGAGAAATAGCTGACTGTTCCTGGTTCATGTCGGAGTTAAGAAATGTTTCATATCAAATGTACTAACAGTATGTATTGCATATCTTATATATTGTGCCTTTTACTCACCTAAACACCAACCTTCTTTTCTAAATATCAGTGGTTAAGATTATCTCATGAGTTCTATCTAAAGCTTGTTAAAACTGATGCGTTGATGTGGTTTTCTTTAGTTTGACAAGTCGCATAAACCTGTTTATCTTCCTCCCTGTTTTTGTGCACTGTTTTTAAACCACAAAGTATCTGGCACACCGTGGAAATGTTCCATTCATTAGCTACTTAGTTTTTGTGTTGGCTTGCTGCTGTGTGTAGCTTCATATGGAAGCTGAATCTCATGTTGTGATTTTGAGCTGTCACTGTTTCTAAAATGCAGCGCTGAGTATATTGTTTTTTCTTGTTGCTTTGCCAAAGAACATGTGCAGATTGTATGATGTGCTTTTTTTTTTTCTTGCATTCTGGGAGAATTTGGCAACTGGAGTGGAGTAGAAAGAACCTGGGCACAAATAGTTCACTTTTTAGTTTTAATAGAAAGCATTGTAACAATAAATAGTCAGAAAGCTACTAACAGTGACAGACACTGTTGGAGTCTAATGCCACTGTTATTTTGATCTGTTATTTTGATGAAAACGTTTGGGATTGGACTAAACGGGCTGTAGCTAGTGATAAAAGAGTGTACATTCCAAAATGTTATGTTCTATTATATGTAACATATCATATTTTGTGTTCTAGCTGTTTTAAATTTGTTGATGTCATAACAAGGTATTCAAATCCCTTTACAAAGACATAGAGTAGAAATTATGATAACATTCTTGTCAGAGTGCGGAATTCCCACACGGCATGGCGGTGGATGTTGAGACCTCTAACATTCCTTTGAATTAATGGGGATCAAAGTTGGACTGGCTGCAGATGCATTTCTTGAGAATCGCCTGTGTCATATGTAAAAGGCATAACCTGTACATGCAATTTAAAACAAAAGAATAAAAAAAGATCCTCTGGATAATTTGTAAACTGTTTCAATGTACGAACAAATTCAATTGTGCATGATTGTTTGTCAAGTGAAAACCGTTTTTAGTCTGAGATAGTCTTCTTATTACTCAGAGATATCTTCAGTTAATCATGCTTGAGGTATTCTTCACAGCTGGGGTTTTGTGGCCTGTTGCATGCCTTTCTCTGCCCATAAAAGAAACTGTCAGGAAGATGGGAAAACTCTCAGCGTTATCTTTATCCTAATTGTTTGTGCAGTACTGAAATAGTGGCTGTGGATGTATGCAAAGATTGACAGGCATTAAGCACATAATTGATGATTTGTACATAAAAAACAACAACTTGATTATCGTTTGAAATGCAGAAGTTGTTGCAGTTTTTGTTTATAATTTGTTTCAATAGAACTTGACTTTCTCCAGGTCCATAGAGGCTTTTTTAACTAATTCACTTTTTTTTAACGGCCTCCGTCATGTCTGAGCCTGTATCTCGGGAAGATCCCCTTCTGAATTTGCTTCAGGTTTTAGACTTTCTGCAGGTCATATGACTCACTAACTTACTCAAAAAGCCAGAGTTCAAACAGTTTTATTTACAGCCTTAAACACTTATTCTTTCGTCAGAGGATGGGAATAGGATAGTTGGTAAAGGGGGATATAAATGACGGCAGAAGTGCGAGTGTAAAGGCAATTAGGCGTGGCACCAAAGTAGGCAACTGCACACATGGGATCATCTACTTCCTCAGGCCTCTCTTTGACCTCTTGGATCTGTGAAAACAAAGGACGTCATCAGGTCAAAGAGACAGGTTAAGCTTGGTAAACAAGAAGAAGACAATTTACCACACTCAAAAAACCGAGCACATTTGGGACCACAGTGGGGGGAAAAACAGTCAACTCAGCGGTTATTCTCACGATTTCTGATGATCGCTCACGCGGTTCCTCAGCACATTGATCTGGAATGGGAAAACATTCAATTGTAACTAAGAAATACGGCGGCATTTTCACTTCCTTGAAACACTGTTAGCACACACCTCATATTTTTGACTGGTTAACTGATATTGCAGTTCGAACTTCTCAGCCTCCAGCTGGTGCATCCACTCCCACAGCTCTTTGGCCTTTGCTCTGCAAGACACAGGAGAGTTACTTTTACAATTGTTCAACTATGCTTAGGGATTTTTACACCTCATTAACACTGCAACAGTATGCGTCTCCACCTACTTGAGTGCCTCCTGACTCATGTTTTCTATGTCCAGAGATTTGCGTCTTTCACACAGGATTTTCTTCTTCTTTTCTCTCTCTGTCACCCTCTTGCCGCTCCGTTTCTCCGTCTGTGCAATTTGAAATATTTTCATGTCTTTGTTGACATTTGGCTTTCGGCCGTCATCAGAAACACCCGCGACGAACCACCCACCAACTTTTGCATGTAGCCTCCAAAGTGGAGGCTGGTCAGGGTTTTCTTTTTCTTTGCATCATCTTCTGCCTTCCTTTTGGCCTCCTCCTCCTCCTTACGAGCTCTCTCGTCCTGAAAAAAAACAGGAACACGCGGGGGAGGAGAGTCGGCAATGAAACACTGCCACATGGGCAGATAACATGAAAGCAGCTGCAGCAGGACTCTACCTCCAGACGCTTTTGACGTTCTTTCTCCCGTTCACTGCGGATCCTGTGCTGCTCTGCTCGCTCAGAGCGCCGCTTGTCCTGGAGGACAGCCCATCGCGTGTGGTCACAATGACATCAGAAATGGAGGTCTCTGATGCTTTGTGTGTTGGGAAGTACTCACAATCCTGTCTTTAAGATTGATCAGCTCTTCCTCTTCTTTCTTCCTGCTCACAAAGTGAACCTCAATCAATGTCTGGAGCTCCATCAAGTCCTTCTCCATCCTCTTACGATGTATATCCTGCAGAAACACGGACCAGATCCAGGATCAGGGTCGCTATCAGTTGTGGTGTTTATTTTTTGTGTTTGGTTTCTGTTCATGAGAGATTGGATGAAGCTGGAACTCCTCAAGATCAAGTCAGGGTTGTTAGGATTACTAGGCACAAAGAAAAAAAGAGTGCCACTTACATCAAAGTCCACTTTCTCTCCATCAGGAATCTTGGGAGGGATGAGATTTGGCATTATAAACGGTCTGAAATAAAAGGATAAAGAAGATATAGAAAATGTTGAAAAAAGTAGAAAATGATAATTGGCAAATCTCATTAGTGAAAAATGTATTCGGATAAAGCATGGAAACAACATCTGAAACATTGTCATTTAGTTTAACGGGAAAAATGGCCATTTTGAAATGGACAAGTTGCGACATGGGCAATAAATGTTTTATGTCATTGTTCATTTGGTTATTTGGTAATTGAATATGACATGTATGGACTTGAGTGTGGTAGATTGCCTTATGTGTATTATTTCAGAACATCCCTAAATACTTTTTGTGTTTGCTGTTTCTGAATGTGTGAGATCACCCATGAGCTTTGCTTACTTGAACTTTGGTTTGGCTTCCTCCTCTGTTGGGAAAGATGACAAAAAACAAAAAGAGAAGAAAGAGATGAGGAAATCACACCAGCAACTCCCACAACTTTCATTTACCAAGACCACAGGGAAACATTTCAGACTCTTGCCAGGCAGCCTAACCGAGTCATGACAATAAAGCCTCTCTGTGCTGGTGAGAGAGGGGAATTCAATTTCTGCAGGAATTTCTTTAGCCTGTAATTCTGGCACAACCCAGGTGAAGTCTTTGTCCATCCACGGGCAATCAACAAGTGAGGTGTTTGGTTTGCTGGCAAAGTAAATAGTGTTACCTTCTCCATCCTCTGCCTCTTCTTCTCCCTCTGAAACCAAAAGCAAAACACCTTTTGAGTTTGTGACTTCACATTTTTTTAAAGAAGTGACATTTTTACAAAAACAAAATGGCAAATGGCTCCAAAAATGCAGATAAGTGAGCGACGGTTTGTGTTTGTCAAAAACGGTCTAAGAGTGTTCCATCTTGTGCTACATACCAAAAATACATTCTGGTTGAGTGAAACAGAGGGTGCTGAGAGACAAGTTCTGATGATAAGCAGTCTGAAGGAGGAGTGAAATCTGTGACCTCTGAATGACGTGCTAACATCAGCCAGACAGCCAGCTTTGTTTCATCCTCGATGAAGGAGTTTTTTTCTTATTCTTTATTGTTTTAAATCAAACCTTTTTTCAAGTTATTCAGCAGCTAATCCCATCATGGGCTCCAATGGAATATACTATGTAAATAAGGGGATTTGAGTTTGAGGTTTGGATAAAAACTTTTCCCGGCTGACATTGGAAAAGAAGAGGGATGAGTTCATTTGCACAGAGACAAAAACATGTACACTCACCCTTAGGGTCGACTTAGATTCATAAATCAAACTAATGTAATTTTGTACAGTGGGAGGAAGAGAGAGGGCCCAGGGAGGAGGCCTGCATGCAACAGCAACGTGCAAACTCCACTCAGAGAGGCTCCATCTGGAACTGCTTTGGTGTGAGGTATTGGTGCTAACCACCAACAACTATAGAGCACTCTTTCTAAAACCCTTGTTTTCAAGTCATTTTAGATTCTCTCTCAACCAGGTGGCTAGTTTCAAGTCAATCACTGTTGTTGGCACATATTCATTTTGAATTGGGGTCTCTTGTTCGATACCAACCATTAAACTCCAAGGATAACCAAATGCAGCAGCATTTATTGTGTTGGTTTGACACAATTAGATGGAAACTCAGCTGGCATTAACACTGGATAAATGTTTACTCTCTCCAGCCTGTTCTAGATGCGATACAAGTTGAGACAGAATCTGATTTACATGCCTCATGTCTCCCAGGGTAAAGTGGACTCCAAAGAGATTGTGACTAATGAGAGTTTTAGAAGTGGAGGTCATAGAAGGTCTTTAGATTTTCCTTAACCAGTTGCTGTATCTGGTGTGACTAAGAGTGCATGTCCTCTCAGGATTTGCAGACAGTCACACACCAAAGCGAAGGGTAATTGAGACGGCAGATTACCCTCCCGTCTGACTGTAACTGCTGATCACTGGCAAACACATTCATCATCTTCATTTAGCCTTCAACTGGGTCCTGGCCCCATTGTTGTGTTTAATAGTCGCTAACAACATTCCCGACAAGCAGAAAAAGCCCCACGGCGATATTCCTACTTTCAAAATCCCTCACCTTGTTCTTCATTTTTCTCATCTGCAGCAGGTTTGTCCTCCTCCTGCTCAGCCTCTGCTGGCACAAAGATACATGACTCATCCATGACAGCTCTTCAATATCACAGGGTGTGATATCAACTCATCCCCTTATTTGATCCTTTATTCTCACATGTCAGCAAGCTTCTTTTTTGCATTAAAGTGTTTAAATGATATAGGATAACACCCACCTTTTAAACACAGTGTTTTTTACACCTATCAAATTGAAGAGCTATGCAGCCATTAATGATGCATAAATGCATCGAGTAAGTTCAGCTTTTGGATTAACTCGGTGCCTCAAAAATTAAACAACCGTTGATTCAAAACCACGGACAGAGAGCATACAATAAGTGACCGTTTTGTAGGTGAACTAGCCCTATCTGGTATTTCAAGCTTTTAGCACTCCAGAACTGGTTAAGTGCTGTGTCCTTGTGATGTGTTTGTATTCAGGGAATGTGTGAGATAACACCCTGAGTGGGAATCTTCAGAGCCATGCAATTTATTAGCAAAGTTGCACTATTGGTCGTATTTGTAAAGCCCTATAACTTCACCAATTAACAAATCATTAAAACACGAGGTCTAAAGCCTTAAATTGGCCCTAGTTTTAAATTAGCTTTATCGAATGATTGTAGTTGAAGGTTGACCTGATGCCAAAGATGTTAAAAGTTGATCAAAAAGCCTAAACAATACCTTCCTCAGCATCCTCCTGCTCTTCCTCCTCTACTCCTGCTGAGGAAAGCACATAAATAAGTTATTTTAAACACTGTGACTCAGGAGAAAATATGTCCTTCACTTCACCCGTTGACCTGTCAATATTTGTCCTGTCCCTGAGCATAATCTATTAATGAAAATAAGAGAAAGCATCATACTAATACCTTCGGCGGCCTCTTCTTCTTCTGAAGCAATAAGCCAGGGAAATGCATCACACAAAGAAAGATTTTACTCCAGTACACATGTAATGAGCACATATAAAGCAACATGTATTTACACAACCACATTCGGGAGTTTGTCAGAAAACAAGAGTAAAGAGAGCTCAAGGTAATAAATGTAACCACAGTAATTATATAGTAATGTAATGTACATAGCAGGACTTCATACCTGCAGCTATGACAGTTAGGTCGACAGACAGCCAGAACCTCCCATTCCCATTAACAAGTTCAGTAGAAAAAAGGCTTAAAGTGCCTTGTAATGTTTAAATGATAGATTTCAGTCATAGAAAAGTTGTGGTTTTAAGCTTACAATGTAACTTACAGAAAAAATACAAGAACATCTTCCAGGTTGACGTGGTAATAATGTAAACAGAAGATTGTATCTTTTAGTGCTCAACAATGGTGTGTAGTGATTAATGTGTTCTTACCTTCCACCTCCCTGTGAAAAACAAACACATTTTTTTTACTGCTCTTTTTGTTACTCAAAAAAAGTGCCACAGTCTGTCATCACCATCATGTTGCTGTTAGAACAATAGATGCATGCAGGTTTAGCATAGATGTTTAGCACAGATGTAGTAGAAGTAAAAACAAAAAAAAACAACCTACTCCTCATACTCCTCCACTATTTCCTCGTTGTCTGACATGGTGGGGCACGTTCAGCGGTGCGGCAGTTAATCTGAACATTAAACACACCTGGGGGTTACTTCCGTTCTGTCTCAAATACAATATCTAGTAGTTTTTTTTTACATGTGTAACTATAATCTTACCTGAGAATTGAACTGGAGTGGGTAAAGAAGAGATCTGGTGCACAGACTCAACACACAGCAGAGAGGTCATTGACTTCCCTAACGGGAGTGGGATGTGAGTTTCAGGGGACAAAGCAACTGAACGTGATGTCGGGAAGAGGTTTTAGGACCCCCCTTGTTGAGTTATTAATAACTTCCGAGATATGGTGTACTCGCCTTTATCACCATTCCCAAAAAAGGCTGCTCTGTGCATGTCTGTGGGGAAGCTGTGCCAAAGAACTCCAGATAAAGCCACAGTTGTTCAAGTACAATGACTCACACATGAACACATTCTCTCAACCTTATTTGGCACTCTGTCACTGACAAGATACAGGCAAGCAGGCCTTATCTACACACGCCCTCCTCTGAAATAACTAAAGCATTTCATTTCATTTTTGCACAGTTTACATGGTTTATTCTATAGACAGGCAGAATCATGTCCAAAAGTCCAGATGAAAGACAAGATGAATCTTTATTTTGGCAGACTTCATAAAAACATACAATTACAACTCCAGCATTCAATAAGCATGAGCATCAAAACAGCCTGAAAACTTTCACTTGTTTAAAGTGCTTGAAAAAGTCATTAAAGTTAAAGATTTTCAAACAAGCATCACTGTCTCTTTTCTCTGACACTTTCAAACATTATTATCTACTTAATCCTTCCTTGTTAAAAGAGACATAAAGCATCGGTCTTTTGTACTTCTATGTGTAAAAAAAAGTGTTTAAAGAAGCCATGCAGAAGTGTTTGAGAGAAGCCTCCAAAATGTCACAGGGGATTTCTCCTTTCATCACCCCCCTAATGCACTCAACCATCATCTCAGTTCCTCCTGTGTACATTGGCAGTGGATGGGAAAAAAAAAAAATTTGAGGAGGCAAAGCGTCAGTCACAGCATCCATTAATTATCCAGATCTCTGCCTATCCTGTGAATACAGAAAGAGAATCAGGACCGTATCACGACAGTGGTTCATATCTATATAATTACTATAATCAAATAGAAATCTCATTGTATATATCTATTATATTATTTGCGATTTTAGCATGAACATGTAACATGTATATGTGTTCCTAACTTCAAGTAAGATTTTTAGGTTGTTTTTGTTCACATTTGTTCACTAATTTGTACTATTTAGACTTACCCTGCATTGGAAATAGTGAGTACCGCTCACTTGCTTTTTCCAGGGCTGACTTTTGAGACACTTTCCTCTCCTCTGTTCTCAAACAGACTCCTCTTACTAGTGATGTCAACGTGTCTCAGGTCCTACAAACAGAAAAAATAACAGGCTATCATAAATCTCTGTGAACAAAGTGGAAAAGAAACTGCATTTCTTAAAATGATCGATCATAGTATCTGAATTATCTTGATTCTGCTGTTAAAAATCAATAACAAGAATCAACTTTCTTTGTTTCTACAGTTTTCCTCAGTAATGACCTCTGGCAATCAGAAAGACCAAACGACATCCTGTTCAACCAGGACACACCCTTGACAGAGTGCTACTGCCCCCTGGCCTCAAAATGTGACAGCTGTACTAAGCATGTGATGGCAGGTATGACAGCCAGCTTGATTAAAGGATAATCTTACAGTCGTGGTGAGAGTGGACCCTGTTGGGCTGGTTTTATGAAGAAAGCGGTTGATCCGATCAGATATTCCTGACGTGAAGCCCCTGAACTCCTGATCAAATGAAACACATGAAATCATTTGTTCCTCTCTTGTCCACATGAGCATTTAACAAACAACCAAAACATGAATTATGAATCTTCTTTCTATAAATGTACTTGTCTGGTAACTCCAGGACTGGTGGGGCTCTGTGTCGGCTGCTCTTTCTCGAACAGGCCTCTCTTCCTGGAGACCTCCTCCAGAAGGAACAGGGTCCTCTGGGTCACGTCTGGAGACCGAGTCAGTTCTGATTTCTGAAGGGTTGAAGGAAGCAGAAGTGAGAGGCAAACAATGGCAGTACTATCAGCTTATGTAGACTAGAACAAGGACAAAAGTGCCAATAAATCTGCTGAGCTAAAATATCTTGGACAGGGCCGGTCAGGTAGAGGACCAGTGACCCCGAGATTTAATGGTGTCCTGGTTCACACCTGCTATTGGACCAACAGAAAAAAACAAACCTGAAGAAACGGCACAATTTAAGGAAAACAGAACAAAAGTGACAGTCCTTAAAAAATTATCTCAAGCTGCCGAACACTATCTTATAATGATGTTCTAATTAAGACCTGCACATCCTTTTAAAAGGAGCAACAAATAAGAGAGAGCAAATACAAATAAGACTATCAGGAAAACTATCAGGAAAACTGAAACCAGACTTAACAAAGACTTATATGAGACCAACCACAAAGAACAAACAACTACAAACTGACTTAAAGTGCTTCACGCCAATAACAGAATGACAATAAAGAGAAACTGACTGTAAGATAACAGGAAATAATGCTTGGAGTCTGACCTGTGCTGCCTGAGCCAGCCTCTCCATCTTCTCCTGGATGGTCCTGGATGAAATTCTCTGCCTGGAGCTGTGGGGCAGAATGCATTTTTCTACATCTTCACTTCATGATATTTGCCGCTGACTTTAACTACAATCATTTACAGATCGTCAGAGGTGAATTTAAATGTAAACTACAAAAACCCACTTTCTCTGGAAAGATGAAGCCTTATCCTCATCTTCATTTTGGTCCTGATTTGAAAAGAAAGACAATTCTTTTAAAGAAATGCTAAACTATTTGTTCACATTTCTGTTTTTTTTAATCATCTTCAAATTCAAGATGATGAGTCTAATTCTAATCCCAAAAAATTGAATGCTTTCTTCTGTGTAAAGCATGTTTAAATAAAAACAGCAAGGAATTAACAGTAAATGTCAGTTGTTTTAAATTGTGTGTGGGAAATTCAAATAATCTTCTTACCGTGTTAGACTCAAACTTCTTGGAGGCGATCCTCACACTTGCACTGCAACAGAATACTCCGGTCAGCTATAAGACTCAGGAAAGGAGATACAGAGCACCTCAAAACGCAGACAGATACACTTTTTACCTCCTCTGCAGTGGTGTGCTCTCCTCCTCCTTCTTCCTCATCATCTATGAATAAAATGAAGACTAAATAAGTGTTCCTTACGGTGTCCGCTGAAGTCTGAAGTCTGCTTTGGTGCATTCAAAACCATCAGTGACTAGTAAATATGGTTTTATTACCATGAGCCCAAACTTGACTGGCACAAGCAAATGAACCTGAGCTGATAGTCTGACAGCTGATGTGACATCAAATTATGATTTGGCAGTCAAATGACCAAAAGTTAGTGCTATCATTTAACCAGGAAAGAGTGTGTGTGCCTAAGAGGGTGTGTGTGTGCGCGTGTGTTTACCCTGAATGAGATAGTCCTCGAGCTCTGTCTGATGAAGGCAGGTTTGGCCGCTTGTTCAAAGTTCCCATTGGTGGAAGTGCCGTTCACACTGGTCTGAGATAAAGCTTAGGTAAATTGTCTGCTATACAGGATAAGAATGAGCTTTTCCAAATTTGACTGTGGACGCGTTCCAGGGCACATATAGTCTTTCCGTACAGACTAATGAGCTGCAGAAAGTGCTTTGTTTGCTTTGTTTTTATAGGTACAGAGGTGGCGGCTTTTAGCCTTTCAGCAGCAGAGGATGCTGTTTCTCTTCCTGGCTTGATAAGCTGTGACATCAGAACTCAGCTAGCACTTAGCTGTCTATTTGACAAGCAAAACATGAAGCTGATAAAGTTTAAAATGATGTCAGCGGACAGTATACTTGTGTGTGTGCTTTCTAACCACCTGCGTGTGTCCGTTCTGCACAGGACTTTGTCTTCCCTGAGGGGAGGGGCTCTGGCAGGGCGAGGGCCAGCGCTCTCGAGGTGACACAGACGCCGTTGGAGAGAGGGGGCTCATGGGAGTTGTGGGTCCACTCGACTTGTCCAGGGAGATGGACACCGAACTGCAACACAAGAAACCTCGGTGAATTTATACATGAGCCGAAAATCAAGAGAGAAACCAAAGAGACAGACTCCATTACATTCCAGTATGTGGTTGTTAAAGTTTTAGGCATGATGTCTCTTCACGTTTGGAACATCTTTTTTTTTTCTCGTTTGTTCTTTCAAAGGCTGCCAAACACACATTTAAGTGAAAAATACTGAAGTCTTGAGTTCTTCAAGACTTGTGCTCTCACCTTTCTGTGAACTTAATGAGACACAAAAGATTTATGAGAGACAATAATTAAAGTAGTCTTTCTGGATCCAAAACAATAAATAATGATGTCCCGGAAAACCAGTTTGTGTCCAAAGGGAAAACCTGTCTCACTGTCTATTCAGTTCAGAGATAAAGCAAAAGGTCTTTGTGTTGGAGCTCTATAAAGAAAGACTGTGCAGTCTTCTGTCTCAAACATTCATTACTTACATCCACAGGGTTAAATAAAGTTTGTATGACATAGTTAATACTGGCTATTTTGCTTTCCTTTTTATTACTTTTCTATGTGTGAATGATAACACTTGTTTTAAGGCTTTAATACTTTCAAACCTGACTGATGAATATTGTAAATTGATAAATGTGTGGAAAAAGCTATTGAAAAGCAGAACGTTGTTGTTAACCTGACAAACTTGCGAGCTGGATTGGATGCTGGTTTGGGATCACGGTCAGGGTCTCTCCTCAAAGAATCTCCATTTTCTTGCTGGCAAAAGAAACAGGACACGCAATAACGAAACTGGAGAAAATCAACACAGCCATACAGAATACAGGCTTTTGTAGGGAGGCAACGAGACACACCTTGCATTGCGTAACATGGTGCGGTTATAGCCTTATTTGTCGATATACTGAATTGAATCGCCCTGCGGGCCATAACAGATAAAGCTCAATATGACCTTATGTTGCACTCCTTGTCTATGACTTACACATTATTTGCATGGTCACTCAATTCACATGAAATTTACAAGTCCTGGAAAAAAGTCAGGAAAATGGATATGGAAGTACTTTTTTGATGCTCGTATTGAAAGAAAAAGCTAAAGTTGTTTGTAAATGACATATCTAACACATGCATGTGAGTAAGCAGCGCCCACTCTCTTAATGTCTAGAAAATGATTAACACTTTGCTCCCGCTGCATGGGGTAAGAGTTAACTGAGATTAACTGCACCACTGGTGGGACTATGCTGTGACTAAGGGAAGAATTGATAGGCTTTGTGTCTGTCAACTTTTGTGTACAATTAAAATTAGGCAAAAAGTTCATGTCATTTTACTCCCAAACTGAAAGGCTTTTGGCTGCTGAGCGAGGTGGTGCTCTCATTTGGTGCAAAGCAAAATATCTCACAATAACTAGAGGATGGTAACTAGAGGATGAGTTATTCTCTCATTTATTCAACAGGTAAGATCAGTTATTCCTACTTCAACAACATTGTGTAACAAGATCTTTAAAAAAAATTCCAGTTGTAGAGTAATGATGTAGATCCGCCATGTTTCCTGCTGCTTTGAGCAATAAAGATAAACAGGATGGCTGGAAAGGTTTCTTTGGAATTCCAAGCCAACACATTTCCCTTGGTCACATTGAAAGGTCTCTTTAGGATTGTTTTTTCTAGTTGTGCTCATTGTTTCTGTTCCTTCAAGACAGCAATATTTATTTTTGCGTTATCAGACTTTATTTGCACATGAGATTATCTACCAATCTTGTGCACAGAAGAGCACATGAAAAGGTCAAATCCACCAAAAAAAACCTAATAAAATAGAACATGCATCTCTGATGTAGCAGGTGCATGTTTTTTAAGCCCTGAGGCTTAATTTATTATTGATGAGTGTGCAGACACCAAATATTAAATGACAGAATTTTGCCATGAAATATTCTTTCACTTCTCTGAATTTGAAAATAAAAAATGACTCCAACTTACTTGTGTTTTTGCCATGTTTGCCCTGGTGTTGTCTTTGGGGAGAGCAATGGTGGACGTTTCTGGGGATGGCTGTGGCTCATGCACACTGCCTTTGTCCTCATCCAGCTCCCCCAGCAGCACCAGTCGGGCATCTTCTTCTTTGCTCGGCCCCTCGTCATCCCCGCATTCTTTCTGTCTCCTCAGAGTCTCCACATGTCTCCGCCTCCGCTTTTCATCACGTACTCGCAGCATCTCCACAAAATCCAACTGCATTTGTTCCGCACTGACAAAAAAACCCCCAAAAAACGTCACACCCACACACACACTCACTCAGTCTGATAGTTATGATGGATGGTCTCCAGAAAAGAACAGAAGCTCTGTCGGGCTTTTGTCCTGCTCCGATTTCACCAATAACAGCCTCTAGAGTTCATCTCTCTCTTTGAAGAATGCTTTTATTCTTGGTACTCAGATGCCGATGTTTCGGACATCTCAGTATCAGGTGTTTTCATGTGTTTGAAAAGTATACACATGACACACTCCAGTAAGGCTAACAGTAAGAATACTGCCTTTGTGTGCATGAAATCCAACTACAGACAATCTTACGCCAGAAACATACAAAATAAGAGAGAATAGGATGGAAATGGGACTTTGGTTGTAAAAGCGTTGCACACATCTGCAACTGCAAAGCTCAGATGAATCATGAACCTGATTTAAAAAAACAACTACATTGTAATAACAACCTGCTGAGCCCCTGGGCCGTCTCATTGGAAGAGTCTGTCCCTGTGCTTTTGGGTGTGGGGCTGGAGTCAGCATCTGGTTCTGCACTGCAGCTGGTCTTCACCCTCCTCCTCTTCTCCCTCTCCACTTCTTCTTCATCTTCCATCGTCCACTGACGCGCCAGGCTGTGGCAGAATGAAACACGTTATTTTTAAAAACACGCTCAAAACGGTGTACCCGCCCTCAAGCGTGCAGAAATGACTCCTTTGCTTTTGCTATTTACTTTTAAATGGAGCGTTTCTATAACCGTTACATAGAACCTGCTGGACTTGTTAATCAACCTTTATTGGAGTTTAGTCACAGTTGATGTATTGCCCACAGCAAATTTAATAAACTGAACAGCAGAGCTCTGAGGTGCCCTGCTCCAGAAAGATAAAGTGTCAACCTTTCTCAGGCTTAAACCTGTAATGATAAAAGGAATCGGAAATAGAACAAATGAACAATAGAAGGCAGAAAAATACACAAAAGTTGACTGTTAAGTCCCCTTCTAGAGTGAGTTCAAGAGTGGAAACCTTTTCGTAGACCACGGGGTGCTTGTTTTCAGAGGTGAAGACAGACAGAGAGCAGCAGCCACAGTGGGTCTGAAACACAGAAGTCCCAGTCTTTTCCTTGAAAACTCAACTCCCAGCATGAATCTTACCTGGACAGAGCCGACCAGTTTTTCCGACTGATAGACATGTTGAAGGAGAAGAGCAAATCAAACGCGTACGCTTCACAAAGTGGCGACGGGAGGAAAGTCAAGTGACTGGCACTGTCACGGCAGCAGTCAAATTACAGTCTGTGCGACACAAAAAAGTCCACCTTTACCCCGGTGCTGCTCACAGAGGAGTCACGTGACCACAAAGGTGAGCTTCCCACCTGACAAAGAGGGGGTGGGGAGAGAGGTAAAGGAAGTTTTTCCCTCTATGGAGGAAATGCATCAAATATGATAACCTTTTCATTATCCCCGGTATGGTACTTTGTAGCTACATTTATTTAGGTTCTTGTAAGCCATGAAACATGATACCATCATTACACCTTTTCCTCAATTGTTAGTCTTTCTCGTATTACATATAACTAAAAGCAACAAGGAATAATACCTAAATTGAATTTCCCCTTTTGGCAGGACAGCAAAGGCTGTTTCCTCTATTCATATAATGCTGTCCATTGAATACAGAGTAGATAAAAAACATTTTCCATTGAGTCGTATTTTTATATTGAAAAAGGCAAAAGCATCAGGCTCTGGAAAACCTGGAAATTGGAGTGTGTAAAGAATTCCTGATAAGAATTCCACCTCAATTCTTCTTGAACTTTGCAGTGATTCTCTCTTCAGTGTAAGTCTGTTTGCTCTGCTGTGTGTGGCCACACCTTTCTCTGTACTGTATTGTGCTGGACTCTGACCCAGACTCTGTCTGAAGCACACACACCCCCCACAGATCACATCTGGCTTCACATGCCACACTTGCACCTGCAATTTTATAGACCTGATAACCCGGGTCTGGATTCTTCTGTCTTTTCTGCATGCATATTCCTACACAGGCACGCTTCACTGGGTCATTAATATGCTATCATGGACTACTTTGCATGCCATTCACTGTACAAAAAAGATTAATGCCAAATGCTAACTTTAATGTGTATTAGTGTAAGCTATTTCAGTCCAAAATTATTGCTGGATGCTTTTTTTTCTTTCTGAGCATGATGTCTTGACGCAAAGCATTTGGCAAGTCTCCCATGGGAAATGTATTTATTGGCACATGACAAATGCTTTTTCTGTTCAGCTTGATAAGACAGTGAACTGTTTTTTATGGGCATGCAAAACAGGCTCCTAACACTCCAGGACAAGTACATAAGCATATTGGCAAATATGAGCAACTTAACATGCAGCTCAGTCTTGAAATAAGTTTCAGCATGTAAGAGTGGCTATGATCATTTGTATGTTTGCCTCTGTGTTTTTTGCTTTTTGGTATCATTGTAGGTTATTCAGTTTATTTTATTTAACACAAGCAACTCATTAAGTCAAGGTTCATAACCACAATCCATCTTGGTGTTTATTTGTATTTCTATATTTCTACACTTTGCTGCACTTGGATTTAAAAGTTTAAATCCACACAAATCCAGGGTTTTTCATTTAGTAGCAAAGCTAGCTAAGTTAACTTATCATATGATGAGCTAGATATATAGTCTAATTTGAATGTGGAGTGACATTTTGGGTTGATTCTTGGATCTGGGCTTCATGTCGATATCTAAGGAAGGGTGAATATTTCAGAACTACATGATTTAACTAAACGTTTCAAATAGAGATAGACGGTGGTGATAGCTGATTGGAGCAAATGTTAACTAACCGAGTTGTCTAAGTTTTTATCCAATCCTGAGAAAATACACATAATTTGTTTGGCAGTTTACAAATCCAAACTATTTGGTGTGATCATTGACTCAGATATTTGAGGGTGGCATACAGCATCATGCGAGAGAACCTCAACATGGCCGACAATATTATCTGCAATACAGACCGCTAGATAGACAATCATTCAAGAGAGTGAGGATATGTTCTCATTTTCACGGCAGGACTATATAGAAGGATAACAGAATCAAACAGCAATACATCTGGTGGGGGAACAGCACAGCCCTCCTATGACAGCAGCCGACTTTAAGGCTTCACTGAGCTGAGCCTTTAGCAGCATCAAACATCTTCTTCCTGCCCTCCATCCCTGACATGGCCTCCACATTCTTCCTCCAGTCGCTGTCCTCCACTGGCCTTTTCTGCAAACGGATAAAGCAAAGAAGCAGTTGGAGGCTGTAGGAGAGCGGATAAACGGCAGAGTACAGATCTTGCTGAAAAGAGGAGCATGCTCAGAAAATCTCATTGTTCTCCTAAGCCTTTGAGACCTGTGCTCTCACACGGGAATCCCCTAGGAGAATACTGTATAACCGCACCAGAATAACAGGTTTCCTTATGAAATGCACTCAGAGACACACACATCTGTGCAAGCACAAACACACACCAGAACTGACTTATCTGCTCACGTGCACCCACATACACACACTGACCAGTGAGCAAAGCCGGTCACAAAGGCCACTCTCCTGTGTACAATGAGATCATTGTGTCGTGCTCTGCGCCTCCTCTCACACGATGTCTTGCACACACCTTTCACACACACATGAGCATAGTTCTCTGGTGCTCCATGGTATGTTTAAAAGCTGATAAATGAGCACCATTAATTTTTTTTTGTGTAAGTCCTATGATTGTCTGTCTTTTCTCTTTTTTCCCATCTGCACAGACCTTCTCGGTGTCATCTTTCTTGACAGACTTGAGATTGGCTCGAAGGTCCATGGAGACTTTATGCTTGGAGCCCAGCAGGGAGCGAAGGATGGCATCAGCAGAAACACGAACGCGTCGCAGGTTAGGCCTCTTGAATTTCCCCCTGAGGTCCAACACCTTGATGCTCAGGTCTTTAATCTGAACCGGGGACAGGGAATGGAGAGGTATTTTGTGTTTTAGCTGCAGGAGTTGCCAATGGGTCGGCATCCTTAAACAGTTTCCAGTTCCTTTTATTGTGTTCTAAGATTTAAGAAGGACTGGTAAAAAAAGGTGTACCAACTTCACGTGTGTTAAGCATGACTTTGGCTTCAATATCATATCGCTCCTCATCCACCACGTCTATCTTTGAATGAAGTTCTCTGCAGAGATCCTGCACATTAACACACAGAGCCAGGATTAAAACTACAGACACAGTATTAATTTTTATTTTACTTAAAGAGCAGGTGAAGCTGTCATGAGAGAGAGCCAAGATCTCTATGTAAATATTTGCTGATTTTTCATGATGAAAGCCTGGAAGTGGAGTATAGATAAATATCTATATATGGTATTTGAATTGCTTGATCAGTTCTCCTGGGCTTTCCTTTGGTTTCTGAGACATGAGGAAAGAATGGAAGAATTCGGGGAATTTCAGGACAAGTCACCTGTAGCTGAGCAACACTCAGGCTGGTGGTGCTTAAAGGAGGAGCTTTCTCTGCCAGATAGCTCTGTTTCTCCTCCTCTTTAACAAGGACCTCCTGCTCCAACTGCTCCTTAGCTCTCGCCACCATCAGACTCTGCAGAAATAAGATATCCTCAAAAAGTTACAAAGCTCATCAAGACTCAATGTTTATCTCACAGGTGTTGGGTTTCATGCTGACTGTTTAAATTTGTTATTTTCTCCCCTTTACTGCCCTCCTGTGGTAAAACAATGCATAACATGATGAGCGGCAGAATTGACGGGTCAGAAATCATACTTACTTTGAGCATCAACTTTCTGGAAGCTGAGATCTTTGGTTTTCTCTGTATGGATGGATCATTATCAGTAATCAAAACAAGTGGGATCTTTTTTATTCATCTTGCAGATTTAACAACGTAATCAACTTTTATTTTCTTGAAACAAGAACAGTTTTGATCAAATCAATGAATTTGCCTCACCTCTTGTCTGTAAAGGGAAGGGAAAAAAAGTTAATTGTAAAACTCAAAAAGAATTTGCTTGGTTATTATGGCTCTGTGTGAGTGAATGGTCTATAATGGAAACACAAAGCCTAATCACTCACACTTGCTCAGGCATCCTGCTGATGAGATCTCCCTGGACGAGACACGGGAGAGATTAGAAACACAATCAGTTGGCAGTGTTTGTCTTTCAGCTTTTGGAGGGCCAGATCATCTGTCTGCACTCCTGATACTTTATTGTGGCGCAGAGACCAAAGTTTACAAAGAGGCGAGACATGCTCTGGAAACATTTGCTGCTTATTACTCTCTCCCCGAGTGAAATCACTTGTGTTGTTGTGGTGATTGACAAGCAGCATACCCTCTATCAACCCACCACTTTGGTAAAACTGTAACCCAAAACTGTTTGTCTTGTCAACTCCTTTGTATACTCTTGTTTTCCCTTCTGTCTTCGCCTAATGTTACTCCTTTTCCTCCCCAGTCTCATGCACTTCTGCCCTTCATCAGTCCACCTTTTGCAGCACTCATCCACCAGACTCACTGTCTCACCTTATCTCAACCTCTTTGTTTATCTCTTTGTCTCTTATTTGGACAAAGTTGTGAATGATGCCACCCTGGACTTCCTAAAATGTGGTTACAAGTTGCTCCAACAGATTTGGAAAATTCTAGAGAGAAAAGCCTCCCCTCATCCATGGGTTAAATCCCTCAGCTCCATCTTTCTCCTCAGGATTATCTCTGGGAGAGGAATTTAGAGTGGCCTTTCTACCCAAATAGACCAGGGGATAACTGACGGACAGCTGTGCTGGGTGATTGTGCTCTGGGGTGCGCAGCCTGGATCAGGGATTTACCGCCAGCAACTCATGAGTGTGTGTGAGCTCCTGTAGTGCAGCCAACTCACACAGAGACACACAACAAAGTTACATTGATCATGAATAGCAGTTTAAAGTGCTTTGCAAAGTTTACCTTAATGTCACTACTGTACAAATTAGTTTCAGGTAAAGATGACCCTCCCCAGTTCATGTTATCTGTAATTATCCTGCAGAGTATTTTTTAGGGTATAGTAATAGCAAATTCTGTCTTCAAACGGAACATCATACACAACGTATTTAGCACAATTTTTCAGTTTTTCAAAAAATTGTGGCAGCAAACAACTCCAGGTACCCCGTCTGTATTTAAATTCACACACTTATCACTACATCTAAACATTTTCTGCAGACTGTTACATGAAGGTGGCTTACCAGGAATGAGAATGGAGACAGAAGTCCAACCACAACAGAGGCAGGCCGGACAATCAAATATGAGCCCTATGATTCTGTACCCCCCTATTTAACCGCACCACCCATTGTCTGGCTCTCTCTGTCTTTTTTGTTAGTGGAGGCTATTCTTAGTCATGACCATCTCTCAAACCCCATAATCTTCCTCGGAACATTTGTCTGTCACAGATTTCTAAAAAGCCAACCAGGAGGCACATAGTTAGAACCATGATTTTGGGTCTTAACATTCATTGGATTGAACTAAATTCAGGTTTTTATGTTGTTCCAAATCGCAACAAAGGTTCATACCCAGTTATCAAGTTTTGATCACGTTTAATATGATATACTACACTTTACGTAGGTTCTGAGGTCATCAAAGCCATCCTGGTGTTTGTATAGACGACAGAGCATTTTTTGTCGCAATACTTAAAATGTGTATGTTTTTTTTTAATGGTATTCACTGCAACTTAAATAGAACATGTGGTTGGTGTGTGATACACTTTCTGTGGTTTTATTCAATGATACATGAAGAAAATAGGACATGAAGAAAATTGTTTCCTAACCTTTGTCACCTCATTTTTTACAGCCAAACCTAAACCAAGTATACATATCTATATTCAACTATAACAACCCACTTCATAGTCCATGGCAGAATAAATGTTTATGGCAGCAATTAGATCAATTACAATCTGAAACTATTGCTGCATCATTTCTTTGGCACAGGAGTGGAGGGAGATGCTGACTCCATTTCTCCCTCTTGTGTTTTACTGTTGGTGTCACTGCTAAAGAGGTTGGTTGAGGGTTGACTGTGGAGCTTGAAGCTTTTGCCTCTACTGGGGTGCCCGTCCTCACCGTCTTCCCTTTTCCTCTTGCTTTCCTGGGTTCTGGACTTCGGGAAGACAACAGTTCTGGGGTTTAATTGTCATAGTCACTGTCTGTGTCACTGTCCTAATCCAAACAGGCAGGTGGTTCATCCTCTCCTCACCTCCTCTCAGGCTCAGCAGGCCGGGGCTCCACTGCTGCCACTTGCTGGTTGACTACAGCATCAAGTTGAGGCTGAGCAAGTAGCATCTTCTTGGGACAGCAAAATTTTGCGTATCGTTGCAGATCTTCTCTCATGTAAATATGAATAAAATCAGTAATTATTAACATGTAGTTGTATTTTTCTAAGAAACCTTTTATCATATGTGTATACATTTCTTCATAAAGTCTAATTTCACCCCCTTTGTTCACTGAAATGAGAACAAAAAGAAAAAAAAACTATATATATATACATATATATGTATATATTAGTAGAATAAGAATAGGTATAATGCAGAAATGGACAGTATTTTCTCACATCTGGATTTCACATCTAGATTTTTCTCACATCTAAGTTTAATATCAAAAATAGAAAGGAATGTAGCCTTACATTATTTTATACACCCACTGCACAGACGTTCTTTCCATTTAACAGCAGAGACAGACCTCTAGTGGTTTTCCACTCGCACATCAGCTCCAAACCAAAAGAAGTGTGTGTGGCATGCATAATATTTTACAACTGGAATGTTGAAATTGATCTTGCCCAACATCTGCCCTTATCCAATTTCTCTCGATAGGCACTGATAAACTGATCAGATGACTGCTCTGCTGGCAGCAGCATCAGCGTGAGCGTCGGGAAAACTGCGCTGACAAATGTTCATTCAGCTGAAGCTTTTATGGTTCGGCTTGTGAAAGGGCACCCTGGGTTGCGCTCTCATCTGCTGAGAATACAAGAAGCCTTGGACAGAATTTACAGTGTTTAGACAAAGCATTCCACACAGGAGTGTGAGTACACACAGAAGGAATGGATTTTTTTGAAGCCATATGGCAAAAAGAGAGCACGTATTTTACCTTCAAACCAGTCATTCATGTAGTTCAGTGTGTATTTACGCCCTACTGTGCAGCCACACTCCACACATCTACACACATTTGGAGAGAGATCCATCAGTTTATGTCTTCCCATCCCTTGAGCTGCCACCGATCCCTTTACTGAATGTGGTGTGGCACACATCGGGGTTTTCCACAGAAACATGAGAGTTTAAAACACAAGTGGCCCATTATAACTCAAGAACACACACATACACATGCGCTGCTACACTCTTGACAAACATACACACTTGGGTAGAACAACACTCATAAATGGACGGTATAATCTACGTTTCGGTGCTGTGAGTCAGCTGATGCTTCAGCCCTGCTGGATCTCGTTGGGTGTGTTCCTGGAGGTGAATACGTGTGGGTGGATGTTTGTGCGCACACGCCCCGGGGCTTTTCGTGCTTCTCATTAGTCCTCCACACAGTTCACAACAAAAGGTGTCCTCACTCTGGCCGACACGCAATAGCCACGGTGTGTGTGAGCGTGAGTTTATGCAGCTGGGCTGCGTGCATCACCCGGAGGCTAACACAGCAAGGTTACAGCACTACCGGAAACAGATGAGCACATCTCAAATGAACTGGAGCAGAGAGTTTAATGCGAACAGACATTATGCACATGTGCTAATGTACACAACGGACGGCATGTTCGGATATAGGAGATTTGGTCAAAAGGTTCTCCAAAAATGTATTTATTTATTTGACAATTGTAATACTGTACATGGTTTCAAGAAAACACACTGAATGCAATAACAAATACTTCATATGCTAATACTTGATTGAAAGCATGACTATGATGACTTTGTTGCAGCAATATTAAAGTTGTTAAAAAAAGATGTCTTTATCAGAGGATAGTTTAGACACATCAAGGCACAAAGGGTCAACTGTTTCAGCAGGAGCCGCCCTGCTGACCTCAGGCGATTGAGTCATGGCAACAGTAGCTTTTATCCTTAACAAGATCCTACGCCAGGCCGAGATCCATATTCGCTGATGGCTTTTCCATACGTCCCATGATGCCGAGCAGCACAGGAGTAGGCCCGTGGTTCTGATGACCTCTTGTCTCTCCTCTGACCGGGTCAGACCCAGGGAGCAGGCAGAGCTGGGGAGAGAGGAGCACGGTTTTCATTTCCAGGAGTTAATTGATATTTTCAACGCCGGGGCAGCTGATGATGATGGTGGACAAAGTGCGGGGACTTATTTTACACTGTTACCATGGCGACTAAGTTAATTTGAGCGCTTGACTTTTGCAGCTCTCTTAAGGAAGCATTGCCGCGGATTCCAGGGCCGTGAGCTCATAGTTCAGACTTTAACGCGCCGCTCATTTCCCCACTACAATGACCAGTTTCAGTACACAACCGTGTAGCTGTGGGACGATGGGCTGAAAAACGGGCGTGTTACACTCACTTCTCACAACCAGATGCCCAACTGTTTTCATTAAATACACAATACAGTCTGCGTGTCTGTATGTGTGTGTGTGTGTGCGCGCACACGTCGTGTGTGAGTTTAAAAATACTCTGATGAGGGAGAGGCAGGCAGATGTTATTTTGGAGGCTCACATTGCATCGTAATTATGTCCTGGAGTGAGTGCGGTCTGTGTCCTAAGAGGCCTGAGCTGCAGTGAAGGCAGAGTGTAAGGAAACACCGAGTGGGCCGCAGCTCAGTGGAACACTAATAGCTCTCAGCCTCGGTTCAATGGAGTGACTCCCTGACATGTACCACCTCATCCCCAAGTGCCTATACGTTTACATCCACACGTTGTACCGACTCGTTCCAATGATTAGCACCTTTCCACCTGGACATTAGATGGGCTGATCTGCCACCCATGCCATGCTGGGGAGCTTTTTATTTTGATGGAAGAAAACAACAAAAACAACTATTTCAGGCTCTTGAGGTGATCCATTTGCTCAGGTTGAATTAGATAGTTTGTGAGTGAGGGTAAACATTTCCCAACCTGGTTGGGTGTGGTGCCACAAACACAAATTCAAGGGAATATTTAGAGAAGTCAATCAATGAAAGGCCTCTCGGTAAACCGACCTTCGCGTCAGAGTTCCTCATCCTCCCCGGCGCTGCCCAGATGTGCGGCGCACATGTGCCGGTTCCTCCCGGTCTGCACCGCCTGCAGGTTCTTGAAGCGCACCAGCGCCAGGGCGATCTCCGCGTTCCACGCCGCGCCGTCCTGCGGACAGCGGAAGTCGATCTCCTTGCCCGTGGCCATGACCACGGTGAAGTACACCAGCCCGCGCTTGTACTCCACGCAGTCCACGGTGGCCATACGTTCGAAGCGGAGCTCCTTGGCTTTGGGGCTCCACGCCAGGGCCAGGGCCGGGGCCGGAGCCTCCCCCCCGGCCCTGCAGCTGTGCAGGCGCAGCCCCTCCTCCGTCAGCACGCAGCGCTTCTTCTTCCACAGCTGGAGCAGCCCGCTGCTGCGCTTCTCCAGCTGCCCGTCCCGCATCACTTTGGCCGGGAGCGACATGGCCGGGCTGAGCCCGCAGTCCTCAGGAAGGGGGTACTCAAGTCAGGCGGCAAGTCCCCAGCCGGTCTCGGGATGGATCCATCAAGCAAACTCTTTAGGAGCTCTGCGTCGTGCGCTGTTCCAAGCTAAGACATTTATGAAAACAACCTTGTAAGGGGATTGCGAATCCAGCCAGTGGCTCCTGACAATACACCAGGTGGGAGGGCTGGTCTGCCTGGATATGTATGGACATGCCCGGGCTCCTCTGTGGACCTTCTTGCTTCCAGTTGCACCCCGCCTCCGTGTGTGTGACGACAGAGAGAGCCTTGTGTGTGTGTGTGTTTTATTTGTGCGTCAACACACACACGCTCGTGCGAGAGACTGAAGACGGTGGGGTTTTGGAGCTGTGGTCAGAGCTCAGACGTCATCAGAAATGCAGTTTGACACAGCGCACCTGCCGCAAAAATCCTGGACACTCGACCCTTCAGATGGGCGTGTGAGGCATTTAAGGACAGTGGATCAAATCTTTGAAAGGAAAAAAAGAGTAAAGACACGTTGCTTGTTATTATTATTGGGCAAATGTTGCAATGAAAAAGTTCCTGTGAGACAAAACAAAGTAGGAAAAGTGACAAATCATACATGCTGTATAAACCTTTGAATGGATAGGCTTTAAAACACTTAGTTGACTTGAAGCTGTTTAGAATACACAAGCAAATGACTACTAATACACAGTTTGCTCACCTTTTGACGTCCCACACCTTGTTTGGATGAAAAGTTTAATCTAGTTCCTTCTGACCTGCCTCAGTGAGAGGCTGTTGTGAATTCGGCACCATTCAAACCCTCATGTGATATCAGCAGTGGGCGTTGTGTCACTCCAGTATTATGACAGGAATGGATACAATGTACATATGTCATATCTTTAAACTTGCTCATCAACCCAACCCAGCTACTCTGAGTTTATGTTGTGAACATGAAATTGGGGAAGTTTAAACACAATCACACAAAAAAAGCAGTTTTTCCATTTTATTCGTCATTGTCAGGCCAGGGATACATGTTATAAACAAGAGAAAGTTGACTTCATGACATAGACTGTTTTATTTTGTGATACAGATCAAAGCAGCATGTTCAGAATTATGTTGAAATGGCTTTAAACCAAAAGCTGACCTAAACATCCTGCAGCTGTGAATAGATGCCTGTTTGTAAGTATAGAGTGTTTTTATGCATTGGTATAACTATATCAGCATTCGTTTCCTATGGGACGATGTTGGTGTAATCTTAACAAGCGTACAGGATATTCAGACAGGGTTGTGTAAAGATTATACTTTTATCTGGGTAAATGCAGCAGCCGATCCTCTGCAGGACGTGGAAAGAAGTGCAGTTTTCTGGACACCTGCCAGAATGGCTCCTACTGGGTGTGCGCCAACGCCCCAGCTCCAAGTCCATACCCAAATCCTTTTGGACCAAAGTGTTTGCCATAACAGCCTGTTGGAAACAAACGTATTGACATGAAACATCAATATCATACAGAGCAGGAGGCCACATAAGCAGTCTCCAGGTGGGTTATGGGCACATTGATTTCATTCATATAGGAATTCATGAAGGATTAATAACTGAATCAGACTTTTGTGTAAAGGTATCTGTGCCAACCTCTCGAAATCGTAACACAGGAACCTGGTTAACCCTAAAAGTTAAGCATTTCTTGTGACCTTGTAGATTTTTTTCTGATGTTAGTGCTCCCTCTGCTGTAACATTGTATTTGTTACAAGCTACACTCAGGGTGCTGGCTAAGAACATATCTGGTTCAACATGTAGGCCTCTAGGCAGACTCTGCTGAGCAATTTTCTTATTGTGTTCTCACTGTAGGAGGGACACTATTTTTACTTCCATAACTAATCTGTGCTCCATGCCAATTGGAGCACAGCTCTATGATGAACTTGCAAATTCTAGCTTTTCCTAGACTTGTAGTGTTAAAGAAGTATATCTTAAATAATTGAAAAGCTTTCCTACCTTCAAAACTCCCACAGCATTAGTCATAAAATTGCTTGATAAATAGACTCTGTATTTGGATTAATCCTGACTGCTATTCATATTTCATGGCAGTGTCTTGTGCTTGGTAATTTCTGTGTGAGTAATTGCTGTGTACTTTTACCTTTGCAGTAGATTTCTCCATCCTTGTCAGCCAGTGTGGTTGACTCCAGGCTTTTCCCACATGTGGCACAGGTGAAACACCCAGTCTTATGCCAGGCCTATGAGTACATAGAGGGTTGCTTTTCTATTTTTTTTAAAGTGCAATATTTGTTTTGAATGATCATACATATATATATATATATATATATATATATATATATATATATATGCAACACTTTCTTACATTCCCAGCTCCGATAACCTTCTCAGCAGCGTAGACAGCCTTGCCACATCGGGGGCACTTGTCAGACCCTCCAAACTTTTGAGCCAGTTTGGAGGGGTTTGGGTTGGTTGTGGGACGATGTGGAGCCGGTCTGATGGAGGAAGGGGACCCAAATTTGGATAAAGGGTCTAATAGGCTAAAATGTGTTTGTAGTTGTGTGCTACTCACGTTTCATGTGTAATACCCAGGGACTCCCCTTTATCCATGCTCAGGGTCCCTGCTCCCTGACCATAACCGTAGCCTTTTGGCCCATATTTCTTGCCATAGCATGCCTTGCAGTAGACTTCATCCATATGAACGGCGACAGTGGTGCTATCCAAGTTTTTCCCACATACCACTGCACAAACGCACAGTGTGCACACGCAGGCATATATCACTGTTTTGCATATTTGTGTAAATGTTGTGCACATTCATGTGTTTAGATAGGGGTCTAGATGTTTCCTTTTATGGCACAGTTGAGTTGAAATAACATGTTCTCATCAAAATTCCAGCTCTGGAATGTTTGATTTCAAAGCAGGAACACAAATTTGTCCTCTCAACTCCATGAACTTGCACTATTTGTCAAACGGAGCGATAAAAGGATTTTGTTAGTAACAAGATCTGTAAGCTATTTGAGGTCAAAAACAGCTTGTAGGCAAACCTAAAGTTATCCAGTAGAATCACTGCTTTGTTTATACTTAAACAGACCTCTGAGATAAGAAGATGGATTTACAAATCACAAATTCATACAACAAAATGAAGCCCTCAGAGCCTCGCTGCTCTTTAAATGTCCAACGAATGTTTGTCCGCAGAAATTGTCTGGATTCAAGATAGAAAGAAGCCAAACATGATCTTGATAAATAAATATTTTTACCAGATCAAAAATGATAGTGGAAATATTTAGTGTGCACAGAGTAGGTGGCTCCAGAAATCCTGCCTTTGACTGGATAATATGACTTATTTTCTGGTTTTCTTGAATTTACATTGGCAGACAGTAAAATTCCTGGAATTTAGGTCACACTGAATGCAGCACAAGCTTTGTAGGCATAAAAAACATCATCTGCTGATATGGAATTGTTTGCCCTCATGTGGACATTGATAAGGAGCAGAACTCCTTATAAGGTTTATTTAGAATGTCTGTAGTCATGATAACAATTAGAATAAGTCCAGTGGTTTCCAACATGACTATCACAGGAAACATCAAATAGTTTACTCACTGCACAGGAAGCAGGACCTGTGGAAGCTCCGCCCGTCGCAGAGAACCTCCTCTGCAAAGTAAACGGTCTTTGAGCAGCGGCCACACTTGTTCCCTCCTCCCAAAGGCATCCTGAAGCAAAGCATGAGCACAGACAGCTAACTACATTAAGTTATCACGTGAAATTCAAATAGAAGAGACATAATCCTTCATTGATGATTGTTTCAACATGGAAAAAACGACATGCACCAGTGGACTGATAAATTCCTTTAAACACCATCAAGCATAAATAAATACAAAGTGTTTGTTGGAGGAAATTTACTTGAAAATCTCAATTTGGCCGGCTGTAATTCTGGCTTCATGAAAGCTGTAATTTTATTTCTGCCAGTTAAATGTGGCTTCTCTGAGGGCTCAGCCGGCTGGTACTGAGAAAATAATATATATTTTTCTTGTTTAAGGGCGAGTTGACTGTGGAAGTTGCTCTCTTGGAAAGCTAGATTATGCCGTTGTGGAAATGATTAAAAAAAAAGTGACTTTTAAAGTTGTTGGGGGGTGAAAGACTCTGGCAACCTGCCTGTTTCTGCCTCTGCCTGCGTTTCCCAGGACAGCCCTCCCCATCCAGTCTCACCAATCCACTTCCACATTCCTGACCGTGTAAACCCTCCCATCTCTCAGTTTGTGACTTTCACCTCCTCCCCCGTTCTGTCTTTCTAATATATTTCATACCTTTATGCTGCTCTGATTTGGATATGTTTTCTTTTGGTATGCCCAAAAGTCTGCACTGATGTTAGGCCTGTTGCTCATTTCACTTTAGAGAGCAGAACTCTCAGAGTATGCAAGCGTTAGTTCATTTCCTATCACCCTTGGACATGGTTCCTGTTTTCTACTGCAAGTCATTACAGTAATTTTTTTTTTGACACATGAGAAACTGTCACTATTTGATACGAATGAATAAAACCTCTAAATTCACAGTTTTTACTATGAAATGAGCTCATTGTGTGGTGTAATAAAAAATCACAGCTAAAAATTAAGCAGAAGCACCCAGTCAGATATATTGGAATTAATTAAAGGCTAGATATTAATGGAAATAACTGGCTGCGGGAAAGCATGTTTTTTTAATCTTTGAATATTTTCTTGTATTTAACTGACAAAGTGCCAATCATTCCAGTATTATATAAAGTTGTTTTGAATAAAATGTTTATACTGAGATGTTTTTAAGGAAAGTCATTTGCACATCGGGCTTTTGTTCAGGATCTGTGCTTTCATTATAGGGAAAACTGGAGCAACAACTTACATTCAGTGTGATCACAGCAATACAAACTGAGAAATGTGAAACATGGGAAGTAAAAATCCCCAAACTTTAATGTTCTGTGGAAGATTATTTATATTCATAGCTTCATAGACACAAGCTAGCATTTGTGGGATTGCTGAGATGTAAATGGACTGTAATTTGTGTCCCTTTGAGTCATTGAACCACAATGAATGCCAGTAAAGGCAGAAATGTCAGGAATGTTTTTGCACCAGACAGTGTCAGAAAAGTAGCTTTATAGAGCTCCCTGCTTGCCCAGCAGGGAAAAACTGACTTCATTGGGCAAGCCTGAATTCATATCTGCCGTTTTAAACCAATTTTGGAAGCCAGTCAATCAGTGAGGAATGGAAGAAGAGGCTGAAACCTTGGAAAAAAGCAGATGACGACTCAAGCTCATAGCTTCAGGATCAAGTATGGTTTGGTAAATATTTTTGGCCAATTTAATGCGTTAATCTAGTTTTGCCCAGATAAATTAAGCCGAAACGACTGTTTACATCACTGACAGACCTGGAAAAGGAATAGACTGTGAATGCTATACAAAAATAATCTTGAGTGTTAAATCATTTGTAGAACAATAATTCTGATCCATGTCAGTTTGTGTGGCTCTGCAAGTTTAAACTTGTGGGAACACAGAGAGTTTTCTGATAATATGATTAAGACGAGTCCGGGATGTGAGGCATGCAAGCTCCTCCGAATCAGGAAGTCTGTTCTCGAATCTGACGTGACTACATGCGACTGCTTTGTGATCACAGTGGTGACTTCAAAGAAGACATTTTTTTAGTCTTTCTGTAGTTTGATGTGTATTGCAATCTAGCTGTTCACAAAAATATCAGAACAAAGACAGGCAGTGGGCTGTTGAGATCATGCATTTGGAGATTAGGCAATTATGGCATACACAGTTAAAGACAAACAAAAAAACAGGAAGCAGAATCAGTCTGTGATAGAAAAACTTGACTTACCTGCAGTTTGGAGTCGCTGTCTGCCTGTGTCTGCTGTTTGATTCAGAGGGGAGCAGCCTCAGTGCAGCACCGGGGTGTGTTCAGGAAACCAGCACACCAAAGTCAGACAGAGGAATGCTGAAGTGCACTTTCACTCAGAAATGTTGTCCCTACAAACGGAATTACTTTGCACTAATTGTTCCAGTGGTACAGAAATGAGCAGACTCGTGGAATGCGCCCCCTTTCTCTAACGCTGCTCCAGATGTGCTGAAAGGGAGGAGCTTCGGTTGTTGCTGTTTCACTGTGAAAACGTGTTCCACGTTGAGCAAGAAGGCAGTTTCTCACTGACTAGTGAAGTGAGAGAGTCAAAGCGAGAGGACAGGGGTGGGGTTATTAGGGTAAGGAAGCAGAAAAGTCCTTCACTCTTCCTATGGCAGAAGGAAGAGTTGATTAGAGGGAGTAAACACAGCTGACTGCTGATGGAAAGCTTTCTGATTCTGTTCATCCGCTTGATCTTAACATTCAGTCTGTTCAGAGGTTAACCTTTGATATTTAATTGATATGAATCGCCATATGAGATGTTGGATCACATCACCCACCCGCGCCTCTTAAAAAACAAAAGGCCATTTCAAACTAATTCCAGCTTTATTACCCTAACAGTGACTGACATTTAGGCACAAGCTGTTAGAGGTCACCCAGATGAGCTTAATGGATCAGAAGGAATTAAAAATGATAAACAGGAGCAACTTTCTAATACAGAGAGCAAGTGAGAGAGCTGACCAGCATCCAACTGCTCCTTGATGCATCTTTGCTGCCATCGTGTGACCCTTTTTGAGCATTCAACACCAGCATTTACAGATCTCTGAGTCTTTTTACTGTGCGCAGAATATTTCTTAGTGTATTTAGATGTACAGTTTAAATTCAGTCATTTAGTCTTTGGAATGTTATTAGAAAAGTAGCAGTATGAGAAGATGTGAATTACAGTTTATGCACATTTGTGGTAATAGTTACTGTCAGGATAAGGAAATGATTAAATTATTGACTATATAATTTCCAAATCTATTGTTGAAAAATACATTTGGGTAGTTTTTTATATAATTCAATAGCATTTCTTTGCTAATAGCAAACTTCTGCTCTTCCATTGTGTAGTGTCACACTGACATCACAGCATGCAATAAGTTTTGTTCAAATCCATAAAATGGTGATGAACAGAAAGTAATTCCTGAATAATTTGTGAGACATAAAAGCTCACAGTTCAACATAGTTAAAAATTTTTAGTTCAGTACTGAGACAATCCTTTTACTGTTATGATACTTGTTTTCAAATGCCATGACATTAAGCATTGTTGACTGTCTATATGAATTAATGTGCTAATAGGACATACATAGTGCACATTCAATGTTACAGTGCTCACGTCATTCACCAAAGCAGATTATCATAACATATGCAGGTCAGGCTTGTCTTGGTACACTTAATGTGCCTTTTGTTTCCAGCTTTCGTATTGTGTGATTGGCCAAATCTGGCTTTTTAATGTGAGGCATGCTGGCACCATCTAGTGGTAACTGTGTGACACAGGATTTTAAAACTCAGATCACTGTGTTAACAATAATAACATTTTTAAGAGAAGCAGGGACTTCCTCTTTACTGAAAGTACCTGCACTTATTTTGGTGTGTGTGTGTGTTCCTTGTATTCCATTTTATTATTTTTATCTTAACATGATTGTGCTGATTCCAGCCAAGCCTCAGATCTGAGGCCCAATTTTCCAGACAGTCACCATGTTGGAGTTCCCCCCCCCCCCATCCCTCCATATGCCCCTCAGGGTGACAGTGACACAAGTGTCCTATTGTCAAAACAGCGTCTGTCAGGCTCTGTCTCTCGGGTCGGAGGGGGGGGCGGGGGTGATCTGCCCTGGGGGATGACTGAAGATTAGCTATGACATTAACACCCCCCTAAAAAAAAAAAAAAAAAAGTCACAGACACACACACGCTCAGTGCACACTGCTACCCAGAATCCTGTGCTACAAGTCACTTCCCATTTTTATGAGCGTTGAGACAAAGCAACAGATCATGTGAGAGTGTGTCTGCTTTTGGGTGCCAATGGAGTGTTGCAGGAGTTTCACACTTTTTAATCATATGTTGACAACAGAGAAAGAAACAGAAGCCCTCTTTGTGTTGATGTGAAGATTTGGAGGTGAGCAACAAAATAGAACTCTATGGGAGAAAGAGATTGGGGGGTTTGGTTGTGTGTACAGTACAGTTTGTATGTTGGGGGGAAGTGCTGTGCACTGTGGGCAAAATACTATGCTGTAATGCATCATGGCTGGCTTAGCTTCTTTATTTATTTCACTGCACATACTATCCATAATGTGTGTGCCAATATGTGATGTGCCAGAGAGCTCTCAGGTTGTAGCTCACTGTGAGACTGCTCAGAACTTAATGGTGGGACCGTTCCTCCTGAGCTCAAAAACAAGTGCAGATTCTCAGAAATCACATTTTAGATGGTCATTGAAGCCGCCAAATGTGTATCCCGAATTTGGAGTCATTAGAGGCATACTTGAGAGATTTGACCCCGCGATGTATCACATGTGACATTAAATATGCAGCACTGTCCCTCAGATCAGCGCGCCGAGCTGGAAGCCAGCACAGCAGAAATACGAGAGTAGACACAGCACCGACACACGGAGAAAGACACAGATTTGGCTCAGCAGAGCAGACAAATAGAAAGGGGAAAATAATCACATAACTACAATGGCAAAATAAACAGACGTAACAAAAAAACAAGGAAAAAATAACAAATGTGATTTTATGCAATCATGATGAATTGCGTATGCCTAAGAAGCATTGATTTTACAGTGTGCCTCACACGAATTTATGCTTTTTTCTCTGTAAGCAGAATCAGATATGCCCACAGGACTGACACATGATTAGAACTTTACATTCTTGGTTTATGAGAGCCGTTTTTGTTGCCCTGACATAAGGCTTGTATCTTAGATTTACAGTTTATGTATTTTCACTCATAAGCAGGAAGGAGGATGTCAGTGGATGGGTTAATCTGTTCCTTTCCCCTAACCTTCTGCTTCCATCTTGTCTTTTGTGTCTCCCTAATTTCCCATTCTGCCTCCCCATTTCATTAGCAGAGTGGGTCAGATTAGAGGAATGATGGATGGGCTGTTCCTCCCTCGCAATGCTCATTACTTTTAAACACGTCTGCTGATACAGACACAGGTATAGACAACAGATGTCTCTCCAGTAAAATTAAATCAAAGAGAAGATTTTATGCAATTTGCTGGTTCCCTTAACTAGAACAACATTTTATTGATTTAAACAGTCAGTTTGATTTATATTCCTTTGATTTAGCAGGATTACATTGAATTGTGTTGAGCTGATCTGTAACATTAAAGTGCCTGGAGATGATTTTTGTCGTGTGCTGCGAATAAGCAGATGCAGTATTAACCCAGTAGACTTTTTTATGCCGTCTTTTTTTTTCCTTCCTGCTTTTCCTGCCCGGCAATTAAATCCTGAAGGCCAGATGATGGGTTCACATTTACAGCTACAACTGTTTTAATTACCATGTGCAACTCACACTATTGAAGCAGCCAAGGTTACACACTCACAAATTACACTCATTCAGCTAATGGACCAGTCAGCCTTTGCTAGCTGGGCTTTTATTTTGCCTGCGAGTGGGAGGGATCCTGGCCAACAGGTCCATTACTCAGAGATAGGGATTTCAGATGAGGGGAGGAATGAAAGGAAGAGAGGGGCGGGGATATGGCTGCAGGCGTACTGCGGCAGCAACAGAGCGGCATGACGTGATAGAGGGCTGAGATGACAGACAGAAAAACACATACACATGTACGCAGGCCAGTCCTGAAAAGTCGACAGAGGCAAAGGAGGGATTGAGGCGGACTCTCAGCAGCATACAAATTGGAGACAAATTCACTTGCTGTTTTGTAAGCATCTTATTTGAAACGGTAAGCCAATCCTTGTGCTCACTAAACTGGTTAAGTTTTTGTATTTCTGGCTTTTTTTTATTGTTAATTTGAGTCATTACGTGGGTTTCATAGATTTTTAAAATCTGTCTCAAGGGAGTGTGTCCGAGGGATGTTTGCTTTAAAAAGAGACAATTAGAAGGCAAGGCACATCTTGAATGGAGAGAAAACAGGGGGCTCGTGGTATTTTATAACAAGGGGTGACATGATCTGCCTGAGTCAGTATTATAGGGGTGTGTGACTCACTTCAGTGTGTGTAGTATGCTCACTGTGGCATAAGTCAAACCAGTTGAAAGTGCCGGGTGATGTGGAGAAGGATACTGGCAAATTTGTTGTTTACAGATGGGGATATTTATATTGTTGGCAGTCTGGTTTTACTCTGTTCTGTTTAGTTTGTGGTGTGTGTGTTTGAACCACAGCCCTAGCTTCTATAATGAGTTCTTGTTGAGCCACCGTGCGCATCAAAAATGCCTTTTTTTCCTACAATACGCAGTTGGGATTCACTGTCATGACAGACTTAAGTCTTCATGTCACTGTACTATGCTGTATAATACACCTTTTATTACTGGTCATCTGTTATATTTAGAAATTTGGCTCTGTGATAAAATGCTTTTAAAACTTATTCATAGTATTGAAAGCACAATGTGCTGAAATCAAGTGCATTTAACGGTCCAGAGTATCAAAGGTTTAGAAAACTTACATGTTATATTGGAAAATCTTTCTAAAAAATCACAGAATATGTGTCATTTGTGGGTCATTGTATGCCAAATCCTTTTCTTTTTGGGTCACTGACTCATGATAACATAAACAGACCTCTTTTCATTGTTCCAGAAGATATTTCTGTGAGGGTGAAATGACGTTTTTCTTCCAGAAGATGTGAACACTGATTTCACTAACAGAAGTGACTTTGAAAATGAGTCACCTCCATACTGGGACACCTGATTGGCTGAATGTGTCATTCCTGTTTGTCACAGCTTCCTGTCCTGGGGAACGGTTTGGCGTTGCGGACCAATGGGAGGACAGCAGTGAGGATGCAACTGTGATCCAGGAAAAAACAGCCCATTGTTTCTGGGACGTCGCAGAAGTGTGACCTCACGCTCGCCAGCTCTGCCTAACAGACCTCAACGGCATACCAAGGAACTGGGCGCCCCATTGACACGTAAGATCCTCATGTGAGACTGCAAATCTCACTCATTTTATCCTAAGTAGTTTAGAAGCTCTAGTTTTTATTTATAGAGTGATGTGACTTTAAAACCGCCTATCCAGGAACTCTGTGAGAACAGTTCAAAACTTGGGCACCTGTGGGTGTTCCCACTGGTTTTTACTGACACATTACCACTGTTGTCACAATGATTGCTGTGTGGAGATAATGACATTCATTAACGGTATAGTGTGCAGACACACAGGTCCTGCAAATGTCCTTCAGTTAACAGACAGAGAGGCCTGTGTTACCACCTCATGTATT